GAGGAGCAGCACCACCGTGCTAAACATTTACTGGCCAATACACAGGATGCTGTTAACGCAACAACACAGGCCTTTCAAAGATCTTCAGTTACATTACATTACAGGTCATTTAGCTGACGCCTTTATCCAAAGCGACTAACATTGCATTTTTAGCCTGTGGCTTTTTACATTTTTGCCCACGGAGCAACTCGGGATTAGGTGTCTTGCTCAGGGACACTTCGACATGGGACATGGAGGAGCCACCGCCATGAACCGCCAACCTCGCGGTTCCCGGCGCACCCTCTCTGCCTCTGCGCCACGTTGACCCTATTGATCGAATCGGGGCACCTTTCTTCTCCAGAATCCTTCCACATGAAAACACCCTCTCTTGTGTGTTCTACCTCCTGTGTGTCGTACTCTACATGTCATCTCCTACTGTGGCATTTATGTCATTAACAGAAGAAAACATCACTTTTCACACAACAAATAACCTAAAAGATAAAGTGCAGTTTGCACTGTGAGTCTTCGGCTTAATGGACCATAACTCCATCATTAATGCCCTGTATCGTTTTTTCATTTGGCAACCTGATGCTCATAAGGACGAGCTCACATGGTGAAGTCTGTCCTGCCATCCATTTAGCTATGTTTACTACTCTTGGTAGGACTACCTGCAAAAAAAAGAAGAGAAAAGGAAATGGACTGTGGGAACCTCTTAATAGTGATCAAGGCTGTCTGGATCAAACAGAACACTAAACCTTTTTTCCCTTATTTCGCATGCAAATCGAATTGACAGCTATATTGCGTGTATGTAATAAAAAAAAAAAAAGCAGGCAACCTCTGGGAAGTGGGTGGGGCCGCTAATACAAAACAGAGTTGGCCTCTACTGTACAGCTCCTTAAAAAATGAAGTCTCCCTCTTGTCCTTTGTTCCTCAAACGGAGCTGGACGACGGGTCAGAGAGGGGATGGGAAGACAGAGGGTTTCTGGTCCAGATTCAATCACACCACACTTGCTGTGGGCATTTTTGACATGGAGACCCCCAAAATCAGTTCACTTTTCTTCTCTTCTGGTTCACGCACACAAATTCCCCACCGTGTCGCGGATATCAGCGTGGTCGACTGAAATGAGTCACAGGAAGTTCTGCAGCCTGCGGCCAAAGGGTAGTGAGAGACCACGGCTCCCCTGACCGCCAAGTTAGAAATAGCACGTCAAGTCCCTGAGCAGACGGGTTGCCAACTTTGGCAAAGTGGCAGAGTATGTTTTTAAAAAACGAGACCACCATGAGGGGATGTTGATGGTGGGATTAATGAATGAATTAATGAGGGAATATTGCAGGTGTAAATCTAGATGTTGGGCCAGAGGATGTTATCAGCTGCTGCTTAGAACTAAAGTAAATGTTTCAGAAAAGCTGAAACCGGTTTTGTTAGATTAGGTGACAACAGTGCTACTGTGACGGTGGCAGAATTTACCAAGACAGAATGAGTATTAGCATCTAACAGCCGCTGGCACGACATCGGTAACGTGTCGTTTCTCACGACACAAAGTACATTCAGGTCTCTTCAAGGCTACAATTCAAGTCAATCACACATTAATACGTTGACCAGCATTACTACAAATCAGAAAGTGCTCAGCGCGTTCCATCTTCTCCAGGGGCCCTTTTTTTTGTGTGTGTGGAGATCCTGAAAGCGGAACCGAATGCCAGCTTGTTTCTTTGAAACGCAAACGCTGGGGAAGCTCGACATCTTCAGAAACACGTCGGGACTCTATCGACTCAGCAGTTTCTCTTTTGGGGAACTTACTGCATATTATTGGAAAAAAATAATATGCATTCAGTCACCAAACCCTTGACTCCCCGTTGCTATGTCTCCGAGTGTCTTACGGGACCCGTCCAACGAGTGAGACAAACAAAACGTCACAGCAGGAAAAATAAAAAAAGGGACTCGTCTCGGCTCCTCTTGACCCAGAGAAACCCTGTCCGTGGCGCAATGACACCGTGGGAGATGAATTGGGAAATGGGGAGGAACTGGAATGTAGATGAGCTGGGGGAATGAGGACAGGCCTTCCTCAAGAAGCTTCAGAAGAAGTCGGTCAGGATTACAGCCACATCAATACTGAGGGAGATGTTTCATGAGACCCTGAGAAAAGGCTCGGCAAGCGCCAAATGGACGGCGAAGCACTCGCTCAACCATTTATCTTCTTCACGGTTATGTTGCCGATAACAAGGTGAAGAACTGGGGGGAGAACCAACTGAGCCAGCGTAGCTGGATATGCATGGTCCGGCTGAGCTGGATGGAAAATATTTCTATGGCCCCAAGAGCCCATAAACACCAGGTGTTCTCCCTGTGCATTTCAGTGCAAGTAAATGCTAAAAAAAAAAAAAAAAAAGTACGCGTCCACGAGGTTGGCCAAATTCTAACAGAGTGAGAGGACGTTGTGTTCACTTCCTGTTCTGTGCCACAAGCGTCACAACTGTGTTTATCTATAAAGCCACATGACTAATGTTCAAAAGAAAATGCAAGACATTCCCGAGGTAAATGAACTCTGAGCACTGTGGAATGCTGGACGCAGATTAAAAAAAGAAAAAAAGGGGGGGGTTGTGTTTGTGGCGAAATGAAATCACGAACACGGATGGACTGCAGCCTCCTTTGACATTGCCCCCCTTGTACTATTCTGTTCTGAAACCAAGCAGGCTCCACAATGAAGCTTTGTCAGCAGCTGCAACCAGTAAGTCATTCAGGAAATTATATATATATATATAATTCTAATTCTAAAAAGCTTATTGTAACAAACTTGCGAGGGGAAAGTGTATTCTGCTCAAACAGGGATTGTCTATGAGGCAAAACAAAACAAAAACACTTCTCTAAAAATAGCTCACCTGATGACTGCACTACTTGCCTGCTATTCAAATAAAAGCCTGGTTGCAAATCACATAAAAGTAATTCACCTGTTTTTAAAGTTGTGGACATTGTGAGAAACCCATACCTAGATCATATAGGATGGATATATTGGGTTTGTTAATCGGCACTTCCTCTGGGGAAAATTAACCAAACCACCGGTTTACTCCTTTAAATGAACGCCTGGTTGGAAGGAAGGCCCAGCAGTTGGCACAACTTTTAATTAACCCGTAGAGTAAGAGGATAACTCAGGCCCGGTGTTTGGGGGGGGGGGGGGCAATAAAACAAAAACAGAATAACGACACACACAAAAACAAAAAGCAGCTGGACACCATGGTAACGGCCCAGTTCAGTCAGCTAGCCAGCTAGCTAGCTAGCCAGCTAGCCCGGGCTAACCTCTTTGACTGGGGGGAATTTCTTCTTGCACTCCATGGACAGAGAGCGCAGGTCCGTCTGCATGTTCTCCAGCAGTTTCTTCACCGCCTCGGGACTGCTGGTCGACATCTTTGACGGCGTCTTCGACAGAAAATCTCCCACGAAACTTCAGCCGATAAAAGAATGCGTACGCGCAGTCGCCCGCCCCGCAGCGCCCCTATACCCATCCACGGCCGTGGACGTGTGACCACGGTTGTTAGCTACTTTTTTTTAATTCGGCCGTCTCGGAGAAGAAAAAAATCCGCTGCAGTCCATTGACACGGAATCCCACGTCTCTGCTTTGAGCGCCGGGTGCGCAGGAGAGCCTTGATGACTCCGGCACACGTTCCTCTTCTTCTTCTTCGTCAATCCCGATCGGCATTAGCTCCGTGAAGTAGCGTCACTCCACCTCGCTCCCAACAATCGTTTCCGTTTCTTAAGGCTGCCCATTTATCGAATGTATTTGTCAAATTGAGCAGTCTGCCATCAGCGGTCGCCAGCCCCCCTTTTCTTCCCACAATGCTCCAGTGCATAGGTGACACGTCACTCGGACTTCCGTAAACATAGACTGTTTCGGAGTGGGACTCACAGCGCCCCCTGCTGGAGGAGCGCGGGCAGGACAGACAGCGCATCGACGTGCAACCGACAGCGCCACTTTTTAGACATGGCTGCTTTAAAGAACTGTTTTAAGATCTTCTATACAAAGAATTTCGGTGTTTGTGTATATATGTACATATAACATACATATAACATGTTGTTTGTTTATCACGGTTTATCTCAAGGTTTATCTCAAGGTTATTCGTTAGGACATGCTTGAAGAGATGAGATGAATAAAAGTAACCTAAAGCAATAGTCAACAAGTAAATGATGTCCAAGGGAAAAAAAACTATATGTGCAAATAGAATAAAGAGGAATATCCCTTCGCTGAAGCTGCAGAGAGACACGTCTCTGTTGTTCTATCATAGTTAACAGACTGCACCAGGTTCCTTTTGTCATGGCTCTGATTTCTGTCTGGTTTTCACTATGCAGTTTTCAAAAAGTCTAGAATCATTTTTCTTTTTAATCTTATAGCAATTCAGTCAGTTAACCATCCTCAACTTGCAGGAGCTGCTCATTTGACAAGACCCCTTCCATCCAGAACTTTATTTTTTAGGCTGGTGGAGTTCTGTTTTCTTGAGGAAGAATCAGTCACTGACTAAATAACATATTGTACAAGCATTCATATTTTTATGTGTAGAGAAAAACAAGTTGTGAAATAGAGAACTTTGTTATCTCGCAATCATAAGTTAATTTCAAAAGTCTGTTGCAATCAGATTCATTATCATGTGATCACCAGATAATGGCATAAAAAAAGAAATTAGATGCTAACATGGCTGTTCTCTGCTTCCATAACAATGACCAGAGTCATTGATTTGAAGGTGTGAGGGAGGGAAGTGAATTATCCACATCAGTACACCATATAAAAAAACGGAAATTAAAAGACATGCCACAATTTATCTAGTGTGAAGGAGATTGAAGGAGATTGTGTGTGGGTATATATATATATATATATATATATATATATATATATATATATATATATATATATATATATATATATGTAACATTCTTTACAATAACACCTACCATATATTTAGAATACTATTTTCTAAGGAAATTGAGGTGAAGAAATAGACATGATCATTAAACTGCTACTGCACAAATATTTCAAAAGTTGTATTTTACCAATTTAAATGACTTTATTTTTCTAGAATCATAAACTTATACAAACACCCATAAACATTTAAAATGAATGCATTGTTTTTGTTCAGGCATAAAAAATAATTTCAGCATTAAAAAGTTAAAGTTGTAAAAGTATTTCTTTTCCACAATAAAAGGACCATGTACAGATTCCAGCATCAGGAAGAGCAATCAACCTGCCTGCCCTGCTCTTATTATCTACATGCCACTACTTTCTCCTTTAGGCACTTAAATTCTATACACATTCAAAGCATTAGAGATAAAGCACAACAAACTAAGTTTAAATCATGGCAATAGTCAGAAGAAAGAAAAGGAAAAAAGCACGACATGGTCATCCAGCTCTGACATGTTCGGCAAAAGAAACCGTGAATAAATGAGCATTATGACATTAACATGAAAAATCAGCAAAGCCTCATTGAGTTGTGATCAGTGCTGCTAAGTGTACATTTAAAACCATTTCATTGTGAAGCATTGGTTAATTAATAGTATGGTTTATTAGAAATTTGTACATCCTGAGATGATAACTCTGATCAATTGAATTACGCCTGTATTCTGTACACGGAAGTGCATTTAGACCCCCTTGTGCTCCGTACGCAGCAGACGGCTGTTAGAATCAGTGAAGTAACTGCAATGTCGGGTCAAACTAAGTGAACATTACAGATGTCCGTGTCAAAAGCACGGACATCTCTTAGGAGGCAGAAACGATCAAAAGTAAAATCCTTAGCCACGGTGTTGTAACGATGGCTACGCATTGTTCAAGTGTATGAGTGACTCTGTAACAAACTGATGTGGCTCTCTAAGTAACCTGACGCTGTCACACTGAAGGCAGTGCACTGAAGAAGACCCCCCCCAGGAAGCAGCAGGTCAGCGGCTGCAGGCCGGGTGGCTCTTGATAACGCGCACAGAGCCTATTTCGGCACCTTGTCTGATGAGGTATTGAGGAGAAGAGTCGGGATGGGGCCGGACGAGTGTGAAAGCTGAGGTGTGACCTTTGGCCCCCGACGCTCTGACTCCAACCCTCCAGTCTCTAGCAGTGAGACTCCTTTTCGTCCACGGGGAAGTAGCCTTCCTTGGTGGGCGGCGACTTCTGCTGGAGGCTGTCGCCGTCGGCTGCAAAGACGGCCAGCAGCCTCTCCTGCTCCTGCTTGGTTTTCGGCAAGTCGGTGGACGGAGTGGTCAAGAGAACGAGGCGCTGCGAACAAAGAGTGTATTCAATGGAGGCAAAACCTCGAGCTGAAGTGAGTCAATGATGCATCTGTAATCTGGGAAATGACCAAAAAGGTTTTCAAGATCAGTAATGCCACACAGAGCAGGGTTATTTAGTCTACGCCTTACCCCTTACCCCCTAGGACACAATAATGCACCGTGTCATTTCTATAGAAACTGCTGCATGATTTTTTTTTTCAAACCGTAAACAGAAACTTCTCAGCATACTAAATACATTTTTCCCAACCTTTGAAGTAGTGCATTGTGCCCTTGACACAATACAACGTGTTAGCAAGCTCTTTGAGTTCCTGTCCAACTATTTTCTAACTCCTGAGGGACACATCATGTCTTTAGCTTCCAAATACCCCACCGTGTTCAGCTAGTTGCCACGTCTGCGGGCCAGTCGTCGTCGGAAGGCCAATGAGACTAAATCAAATAGTAAAGCTGCGAAACAAAATCCCAGAGCTGAAAGAAGCTTTAACGCTTTACTTGCGTTTGTTACTTAGAGCGACCTCTTTCACACCCATATCCATCCAGGGCCAACACAAGCAGCTTTAACACGTCTCTACGTTTCCGGTGAAACCTACCTGGTTCAGTGTTCCTGGGGTGTAGTACAATTTGAATGCTATCCAGACAGGAATGCACAGCATAGAGGACAGGGCCAGGATCCAGCCTATGCCATTCCCCCACCATGGGTATACGTATTCATTGTTGTACTTCAGAGGAGAGTACTTGATCAACGCAAAAGCAAACGTTCCCTAAAAGATAGAAATTTCAAGATTCTTAATAAATAATGTTGCTCGTACAACATACCTGATCATTTAAAAGCTAGCAAATACTTGAGATGGAAAGCTGAAAAAGAACTCTTAACCGGAATTCCACAAAGATTGTATTTTCCCGGTTGGCCAGCAGATGCTGCTGCTGCTGCTGTTTGAGGAGAGCAGTGTGAAGGCATGCGGATTGAGTGAAGTGAGTGAGACTCGCCATGCATGTTGCTGGGGTGAAGTACAGCCAGCAGTATTTCATGACTGAGCTGGGGCGATAGCCAATCATGTCTTCTATGTTGTCATAGAAACGGTCGGCACCTGTAATCAGGGAGAGGATGAGGGAAAGTTTGGTGTAAACATTTCCACATTGAACAATCATCCGTCGATGAAAATAATAAATTAAGCAGTTGAGTGGCCTATGCCATATTCATCATTTTGAAGTCTGCATTTCCACTTAACCACTTGTGTTGCATTTTTTCCAAATAACACAATGGATGGACTATAATTTGAAACTTGAAATTTTATATTTCAATGTAGTGCCTATGAGAATCTTATTTGAGAGTATTGATTCAGAAATATTTCACGTATTACTATTATTATGAATATGATTTATATGTAAATGTGTGTTCTGTGTGAGCATGCAGTAAGAGTAATTTTCATTTGGTGAAAATAAATTAAATATTTTTTGTATTTATATTTTATATTATAAATTTCTTGTTCTCCTGAGTTTGTACCCTATGGTTGAATGCACTTATTGTACGTCGCTTTGGATAAAAGCGTCCGCTAAATGACATGTAATGTAATGTAAAATATATTTAAACTAAATTGTGCAGGTATTTCGGGATGAGATTTGCTTTAATATATTAGGTCATTAGAGTTACATTTTATTTTTTCGAACATGTATAAAAGGGAATTTTTCTTTTTTTTACTACTTGAACACACAAAGAAAATACAAATAAAAAAAAATAGAACAACAAAGAGCTAAGACGCAACAGAAAAAAAACTGTTTGAGAAAAAAAAAAGTCCTCATCATTGACTTTATTATTTAAATAAAACTACTGAGTGAAATTACACTCTAAACACCACATGGCTGGAAAGTGTTAATGCTCAGTGAATGTAGAGGGCAGTGTGCCCTGGAATGAATAGTGCCTTGTGAGAATGAAGCCTTTGTCTCCTAAATACGGCCTCTATGCGTTCCCAGATAGCCTGCCTAACACAACTCACCATAAACCCAAGCGATGCAAACAGTCTCAAAAACAGCCACGAAGAGCAGGCACATCCCACTGGCTGCGTAGTAGTCAAAGAGCTGGAAGACGTACATGCCGCCCTGTGGAGACAGACATGGGCTTAGGACCCTGCAACTAGCAAAAGAAACCCTCCAAGGTGTCACATTAGAAGGGAAATTAACATTTCTTTCAGTTTGGTACCGATAAAATACAAAGGACTGGAATGTCTTCAATATGAAGCCTTCAACAGGCCACAATATAATTCTCATCATATTGCTATGGGTGATTTTCAGGTTTATTTTGCACAAGTGAGGTCACTGAGACCAACCTCTGTCAGCATGATGAGCCCCAGAAGGAAGGACACCACAGCCACTCCCAGGATGAACAGCTCCCTGCGGTTTTTGCGCCGGAAGGTGGAGGGATACATGTCCACCATGGCGGTCACCAGGCTCTCCACACACACAAACTGAGCAAAGAAAGAAATGAGCGATATTTGTACAGGCAAGTGTATGCATGTGACAGCATGTTTGCTGCAGATAATCAAAAAAAACAGGAATTACAAAACTTCAAACTTCACAAAAACATGTGTGATACTGCCATTTCTCTGTTATTATTCGTATTTGGGTGCATATGTTGCTCTCACTTGACTGTCCAGTCCCAGAAAGACAATCATGATGAAGAAGCAGCAGGCCCAAAGAGGAGAGAAAGGCATCATGGACACAGCACGAGGATAGGCAATAAAGGCCAAACCTGGACCTGAGTGGAACAGAATTGAAATGTCCTTTTCCCATAAAAGTCACCCTTGTTGGTCACCAATGCTCAAGTGCATGCTGTAAAATATCATTAAAACCCTAAAGGGCGTGGAGAGGCCGTTGAGGAAGGAAACCATTAATTCCAGCTGGGGCTTTGCAAACATCTCGTCTTTCAAAAACTAAATCTAAATCAGCACAAATATAACTATTTATACAACTCAAACTTTATAATTTATATAATTTTATTTTAAAGCTTTAAAATGAAATGCATAGATGCATAGATACATTTCTTCATTATGGTAAATGACAAACATAACAAATAGCAATGACATTTAGAGGATCATGTAATATGAAGATGTCTTCAGTAAAATACACAATTTAACAAAAGTAGGAGGTCTACTCATATACATAACAAATATAACTTGTAATATTTGAATGAGTCTTTTTTGATAATGCAGTGTCAATTACCAAAAAACAGTGTCAACACATTTAAACTTGAATGAATGGAAAGGAATCAACAATATGTAGAAAAACCAACCAGATTCTGCCACTTCTGAGATGGGCACGTTCTGCTCGTAGGACATAAATCCCAGGATGGAGAAGATGGCAAATCCTGCAATAAAACTGGTACCACTGTTCAGGAAACAAAGGGAGAGGCAATCCCTGGAAATAGCACAGAGAGTGTAGAGATTAGGAGCCGTGTTTGTTTTACGAAAGGTTTGATTCCGGTCAAACATATAAAGATATAAAAGCCAACAATAATGGTGGAGTGAGGTTGAACAAGAAGTTGCATTTTACTGTAATTGAAGTAAAATCAGTGTTGTTCAGTGGATGCTAACCCATGATCAGGCCCGTCCTCACCTGTAGCAGTTGTTGTTGTATTTGTTATAGCTTCCCAGGGCGGTGAGGCAACCCAGGCAGATGGCATAGGAGAAGAAGATCTGAGTCCCAGCATCCATCCACACCTTTGTCAAAACAGGACCAACTATACCATTATTGGGATTTCTATGCAACAGCAAGGGTCCCATGCAGAATATCACTACATACTATAATACTGTCATGACAACATACATAAAAAAACAGTGACCGCATTGCAGATTTCCTATATTATTCTAGAGTGAATATACTGGATTACCAGTACACGGGAAATGACCGTGTCAGCCGATTGCACTGATGGTTCATTACTTAGGAAGATGCATCCTACAAGTCTGGGTATTGACGGGGAGTATTAAGCAGCAAAAATAATACATCAAATGTCAGAGACTGCCCTCCTTACACCCTCCCATGTACCCATCATAAGGAAAGTTGCATCTCCGTTTACACCATCTGATCGACATCCTAAAAACAATCCAACACCCGTTGCATCTCTTAAATCTCCCCGATGGAACTCCTCCATCCTGACCTCACCCACTCAGCAAAGTCTTTCTATGCCCCCTGGCTGTCCGAGGCATAAAGTGCAGCACTTTTCCTCCCTCTCTTTGCACACTCACTCGCACTTGAGAATTCAAATGAGGTTTGTCTTCATGCTTGCAATTCTGGTAAAGTGTTTCCAGGGCATCGGGGCATGTTTTGGGTTGCTGTCAGCCAGCGCTGACGTTCTGATCAAACCACCAACACAAGCTCTGCACCAGACATCATGCAGAGGCAGGTATTCTGTGACATTTTGCTACAACCGTTATTATTGAAACCGTCCCCTCGAGAAAAATATATTTTCTACGTAGCTGCTATACAAACTGAAAAGTATCCAAATGCTCATTCCATGGAGACTACGAGGTCTTGTTCAGGAACTGGGCCTTTAAACAAGCCGCTAGCATATCTGTACGGTCGTGATGTAAATAAAACGCATTCAATTCTCTAAAGGCCAAAAACAGATGCATAACCAATCACGATTGTTCTATTTGAAGCAGCATCCTCCACACGGACCTGAAATGACCAGCAACTTGCACGTCGCTGCTCAGCCTCTCCGTGTCAGTTATCATCCTGCTGCCACCGTTGTGCTGAGTTGACTCGCGTTTTCAGCGTACCTGTGGGTCAGCCAGCCGTTGCAGGTCCGGGTAGAGGTAGAAGTGGATTCCAGTGGAGGCTCCTGGCAGGGTGACCCCTCGGATCAGCAGGACCACCAGCATAGCGTAAGGGAAGGTGGCTGTGAAGTAAACTACCTGCACGGAGGAGTGGCATTCTCAATCACACTGGTATTTACGAGACTAATGATGCTTCCTTCTCCAGTAGGGTTTAGGCTAAAAGTTGCCCTTGTAGATTTTTTAGTTGCGGTTTGAGGCTGAGTTAGTTGCATTAATCTATGTGCATTAACTCTTGTTGCACCGCAGCTGCCCAGTTCATGCAATTGGTCTTCTTTCTGCTATGTAAACAAAGCAACACTTCCTGCAAATGTTAGGAAAGGCCCGACCAAGCGCATATTGAAAAAAAAGGGTTTTGAATGAGGAATGGTGCAGGAAATACTCTTGAGTTGGGGACGGGTTTCACCTTGCCTGTAGACTTGACTCCCTTCCAGATGCAGAAGTAGCAAATGACCCACGCCACGGCCAGGCAGATAACCAGGTCCCAATTCAGAGAGCCGATGTGATGAATACCTGAGGAAATTCTCAGCACTCTTCGCCTGCGGCACGCACACAAATGAGGCAAACACTGAAAATATCAACATGATCTGAAATTCTTAATTGGAATTAAGAAGCTTGAAGTCGATGAGACACTTAAAAGGGCTTGTTGCAAAAATGTAGGTTACAGGACTAGAAATAAAAGTTAGAACCTGTCTAACAATCAGATATTGGGTTGTAAAACAAGGTTTAACTTGAATTTTTGGTGAAGGTTGTTAGCACCTATGAGGCCATTCAAGGACACGGCCAAACAAAAAGCCACTTACTCCCAGAACTCAATGACGGGAGAGGTGGTGTTCTCATGGTGATTGATGGAGCTGTTCCTCCTCTGAAATGCCATACAAGAATCTTGAATGAAAGAAAAGACAGAAAGACATTGAAATCCTGTGAAGAAAATCCAAGCTCTCTGAGGTATCCAAGTTACACACAGGCGAGTGAAACAATGCTTCCACTGAGATGGACGAGTGAAACGCTGCAGGAACCATTTCACAATGGAACCCCGTAAGAAATGTAACGTAAATGAATGAAAACAATGTTTTCGAATGAACAAAACTTTGTTTAGCATCAAAATGAAGGGTGTTAGCATGCTAACATGTGTTATTTTAAACAACGCCTAGTTATGCTAGCGTTAATTTGTATGTTATATTAGTATAAAAGTTCTAACGGTATTTCACCAAAAATTTGGTAAGGACAAAATGTAACCTGATACAGCGATAAAGGAGAAGTCACGTAATTGTCAAAGTTATTACAATTCATCCTGCGGAATTAAACGTTATTGAATTTTATTTAATAGTTTTCTGGACATTTCATTTCAGACTTCATAATGATGCGTTAGGAAAAAACAGGAAACTAAGAATGTGCCAAAGAGTCCTCTTCTGTGGACTATGCACATCTGATTATAATTTGTTTATAGTCTGTGGGAGTTACGCCTGTGTCCATCCAAATACCTTTTTCAGATCTACGCGTGGCGACCTGGCCCTGTCTAGCACAAGGACACATTTTTCTTGTCCGGCATACGGTCCTGTGGCTCACCTGTGTTCCACGTGTTATTGCAGGAGGCCCAGGGCAGGTCCCAGGTGAAGGAGTTGGCCAGATAGAAGATGGCCCAGGCCAACACAACAATGTAGTAGATGTTAAGCAGGGCAGCGATCACCTGGGTGGCATAACCCACTCCTAAAACACAAGACGTATTATGAACAGCAGGTTTCTAACATGTTTTGGGGGGAAAAGGGGACTTTGTAAAAATGAGCCTACCAGGTCTTGCCGTAGGTGCAATGTCTTCTACGAAAGCAGTCTGAGACCACCACAAATTCAAATAAATCTGACTTTGACTTATAATTAGTGACAAAAAGCACCCGTCACAGAGGCACAATTTAACCTTGGAATCAGTTTGATAAAAACCCACCTTTAGGTTATCACTGCGGCCTTCTCAAAGCAGCGCATCAGAGTACGCTGAATTACTTTTTACTTGTACCAGACACTATTTTTTTGGGAGAACTCCTGTTCCGGCACATAATTGCAGGCCTGACTTTTCTCTTAACAGACTGCATGCTTTGTGGGTTAAGATTAGGGCTGATTAGCCGTGTTTGAAGTAAAGTAGCCCACATTGGTTGCTTGCCAGCTGTAACGGCCGCATTCATCACCATACCAGATGTGTATGGCATTCACACATGTTGTCTGACACAGACTCACCCTAAGCCCACGGAACCAAAGAGAGGCTCGCACAAAAATGACCCTGTCATCCAACATGGACGCGACGCACCCAGTTAGAATAGGTCACTGGTTTGTCCTCATGTCTTTGTTTGCATCCCACATTCTGAACTGATGTTTTTCATCATTTCAGAATAAAATGTATACTGTGACATTGGTAAAAGGACACCTGAGCGCTTGGCTGAAGAGTTTGCACCACTCCTGTTTTTTTTATAGCATTGACTAACTTTTAATTCTTTAAGAAAATAGATTACCTTCAAACAAGGGGCAGATCTTCCTCCAGCAGGTAATGCCTCCCTCACTGGTGAACTGACCCAGAGATGTCTCCAGGAAGAAGACGGGGATCCCACAAGCAAACAGGAAGATGAGGTAAGGGATGAAAAAGGCACCTGTACAAGCACACAGATTAAAAATGAACTGTTAACCTCTAAACGTGCACCCAAGCAATGTAGGGTAGTAGAGGCTTGCTGTTGCAATATAAAGCATTCTCTGGTCACGACACAAAGTGGTGCGGATAATAGTGTGCTAGAATAAATCTGAAATTGTCCATAGTTGCCAAGAGAATCAAACGATTTTACTACCAATGACCTATTAAAGACAAAAGATTGTATTGTTTAGCAGTTTTTATTCTTTTTCACTGAGCTCGGAGAGCTTACTGGCAACCAAAATGGCCCGGACTCTTTTCTGTTGAACCACGACCCCACATCGATCAATGGAATAGCTTACATATTTACCGGTGTATTATCACCTGCTGAACTACTACAAAAAAGAAATCCCACATACAATACTATGCAACTGCAAAGATTTAATTAACAAATTCCTTTTGTTTCCATGGTGGAATGTCCCTGATGACTAAATGCAACATATTTTGTGTTGAACGGGGCAGAGATAAGACATTGCAGCACTCACCTCCTCCATTTTTATAACAAAGGTAAGGGAAACGCCAGACATTTCCCAGGCCAATAATTTCTCCAGCCACTGACAGGATGAACTCAATCTTGTTGCCCCACTGACCCCTCTCCGTCATCTTCTCCTCTGTACTGGGCACAATGTCTAGGGGCCTGCTGAGCCCGTTGGAGGGCTCCCTTTTGGACATGCTCTCCATATCCCCTGTTTTATCAAAGAGGTAAAAAAACCCATCACAATGAAGAAATAGCACAATTACATCATTTCCATGATCCTGAGACGCCGATCTGATTAATCGAGTGAACGTTTTTCTTTGACAAACAGTTAAAGACAAAAGCATAGTATATTTTCTATATTGACGTCAACAATTCTCTTCTTCATCTGAAAAGCAATGAAAAATAACTGATGAAGATGTCATGTGGATGCAAGTTTTTCCTTGGGTTTTATATGTGAGCGGTGGGACCTTAGGACCTGGGAGCCTCAGCATAGAGCGGGAGGCTTAAACTCAAGGAGAGCCTCTCCATATAAAGGAGATCCCGCGTGAGTTGAGTAACTCACGTTTGTTCTCGTTGTCCGGCATGTGCTGCAGTCTGGGTTGCTGTGTTTGTTGCTCGCCAGTAACGTGTGGGTGAGCAAACTATACTAAGGAGGTAGGTTGTGCAATTGAACGCCATGGGGAAATTAATATAATGTTCTTTCCTATGATAAAAGGTCAGACCTGAACCAGACCTGGTGAGCCCCTAATCCTACCTGCTGGTGCACAGGTGCATTGGGCCTAGGAGGTAGGAAGTGGGGCTTGCAAGCACATTATTTTGTAATGAGGAGGATGATGGGTACTCGGTGATTAGTGGCTGTTTTGTACATTGCAGGCTGAAGTGGTGACACTGAGTGGTCAGCAGGGCAGCCGCTGCTCTTTTTATCAGACCATAGTTTTAGTTTAGATCATGCTCTAGTGCCTCCATCTTGCTCTCTATTTTATAGCAATAACAAACTGATATTGTGCCTTTTTGATGACCGCTGCTTCCCACTTGTGTTGTGTCTTAACCAGGATCATTAATTGTAATGGTGTGTGTTGGTTATTTTAGCCTTTCTTAACTGTGCAGTGTTTTTATTGTTGGAAGTGTCATTGTTGCTCCCGGTCAATCACTACTGGTATAAATTATTTGGATGTGTTTTTATAAAGTTATTGTTTAAATAAAAGTGATATTGCAGTGTACACGCAGAAGCCTCTGTCTGTCTATGATCTACCTTGTATGGGGGGTTTTGGCCAGTAAGATAATTGAATTCCGGGTCTCTCCCCTCAAAGTGGGAGAGCGTGGCGTTGTCGCGTCTGGATATTATTCCAAAGTATTTTTAAGTGTCAATTTGGTCATAATATATGAAATTCCACCTTTAAACCCATGGCTTTTTTTACATTTTGCCCGGGGACGGGTTAGGTGTCTTGCTCTGGGACACTTTGACTTGAGACATGGGGCACCTGGGACTCCAACCACCAACCTTGCGGTTCCCAGCACACCTGCTCTACCCCCTGCGCCACGATGACCCCAATATGACTAAAACGCCAGGATGTCCTACTGAATCCAGTCCTTTTATGGCCACCATGCTTTTCTGGCAGACTAGCAGGTTTTAGCAACAAATCTACAAACTGGGAGTACAAGGCAACTGACGGCAATCCAGCGACACGCATGGTTTAAATTCACTGGAGAAGTGCACGTGATTGGACACAGGTCAGAAACCATCAAGGACACGGCAGCCAATCAGAGGGGAAGAAGTGAAGTAAACCCAGGGACACGCTAGGCAGGAAAGTATCGAATAAGACCGGAAACAAACCCCAAACTGTGACTTCTACAATTTGGTACGTAGCCCGGTCTTTCCTCTCCTGTTGTCCCGGCTCTCTGCTCGGCACATAAGCAGGCAGCTTCTCAAGATCACCTACTTCACATCAGCTCAGCAGCCACCCAACGTCCACTATACTTATGAAAATAAAATCCTTTTTTTTTTTTTTTTTTTTTTTTACACTTCCTGTCCAGCATTTGGTCACAAATACATTTATCTTGAAAAATATTCATCACTGAATTATTAAAGTGACAGTCAAATTATTGTACTGAATTTTCTCCATGGTATTTGTCAAAAGTACAAAAAATCGAGTTAAACCAAAATTGTAAAATGCATTATGGAAACCCATCGATGTCAAGGGTTGATGTCTTCAGACTTTAATATTCTATACTATATATAAGTGATTTAAAGTAATTCTCAGTGAGGTTTTAATTGCATCCATTATGTCCAGCTAATCCGACAGACCACACATGAACTGATCCAAGCCTAAAGGGGATCTTCTGGAGATTGAGAGTACTTGGTTGGAGACGGATTCCCCCTGTGTGTGAATGACTTTTCTTGCAAACCTGAGACCCAACATGTGTCACTGCTCTCTCTGTTTGACGAGGCCGGTATGGGCTTGATGTTACGTGACAACACGACGTTATGTCAAGCCATTGGCCAGTTCCAGTTTCGGGGCCAGTGCTGCTGAAAGAATTACTCTCTGTGGAGGAAACAGACAACTCACTGACTGTGCTCACTCCTGTCAGGTTGCATTAACAGGCCTCCCATCGGCCCCTCTTGCTGCCCTCCCTCTCTCTCAAGCACATCACGATCCTCGTTGCAGTCCAAATTCAGGAGGACTGCTCATCCGTCTGCAGGAGACATGCTCAAACTAATTCACTTGCAAGAATACATGTCATCAAACCTCCTTCACTTCATTTATCCTTCACGCATGCACACAAACAAACACGCGTGACGTGTCCCGTAACCCCCGTCTCACGGGAGTTCGTAAAAACAACCCAGGGTCTGGAAATCACATTTAGCCAAAAGCCTTTGGTGTGTGAAGCCGCTTTTAGGAATGTGCTCCCAATGGCAGAATAGGGCAGAGGTGGAACACAATTGTGACTCTGTGTGTGCTGTGTGCAGGCTGGACCCCCGTATTAGGAGCCAAAATCTCCAGTTCTGGTGCCAAATTGTGGCCTGAGGTAAAAATAGAGCTCCTTGTTTTCCGAAGGTACTTGGTGGGAATGAAGGCTTGGAGCAACAAAAGACGAGTAGCCCCCTCGACCCCCCCGCTCTGCACTGGCAAATGAGAATCCTCACAGGCCAAATCACAGTTTACCTCACTTTTTCACAGTTTCTTTGTAGATGCTGGGAAGCGAAACACACAAGACAAATATCTCACTTTGAACTTGCCCTTTTAAAAGTTGAGTAAATATGAGCATTATTTATAGCAGTCAGGCTGAAACAGGTTTCGTACGTACGTGCTGATGGAACATGAGAGAAGAGGCACACTAAGTATCTCATCAAGCCACAGCAGGGCTTCATCCCAGGAAACGGCGCCAACTTCACCGCTTTCTGAAAAGCTGTGGACTGACTGAGCTATTGAATGAAAAGATGAATGTGAGGCTCACATCTGGAAAATGAGTCCTGTGTTTTGTCACCGATTTTGGATTTGTCCGACACACAATGCACAGTTTAAAAAATATAACATAAATGTATGCAGGAAAAAGAAGCTTAAATAAAACTGTCATTTCTATATTCCAAACACTCATCTTTCTTGTGAAAAATGTGAGCATATTGTCCACCAGGTGAGTCAGAAGTTTTGTACGAAATCAGATGTGTTTTCCTGCCAGCAGCCTTGAGACATCAGCATGGCATTGAAGATGTGACGCTTTTGACTTGGCTTTAGCTTTTATTTTAATGTAAATTCCATAAAGTCTTGGAATTAAAACAAGAAATGTAGAAGGAAAAAAAGGTAATAATGAAACCCCCAAAATCCAAAATATCCAGTGTGGGTCAAGCGCAACGCATCCCACATTTCCCCTAATGCAACTATCATCTCAACCCCCACTGCCTCCTAACTGCCAATTGTTATCAATGAGAAGTGTCTTAAATCTTGTGGCACCAGGAATTAAGATGCCAAAAGAAACCCTGATAAGACATCTGGTTGTTTTTACCTGACCCAACGCCAGTTCCTGTGACAAAATAAGAAGGTTTAATACTTAACTTTTTGCTGAGGCTGCAAAGGATGTGGGTGAGCGTGTTGAAAGTAATATCAATACAACCAAAACCGTGAGCCGAAAATAGGACCAAACTGCAAAGTAGGATGATGTTTTCTAATAATCCGCACTGATTTAAGGTGAAAGTGGAAAAATACCAAAGAGTACACAGATACATCAGTACTTGACTTTATTTACAACTTCAATATACGTAGGCACAAAGCCTGAGGAACTGAAACAATGGTCACTCTTCTAAACATGTAAAGCTGTGCAGATGGATGATTGAATGCAAATCCGAGTAGTGCGTAAGATCACATAACAAAAGCAACAGATATTTGTTGGGACTACGGCAGCCAGTTTGGCTATGAGCCTCCTCACCTTTGGGAATGTTTTAACTGTAACATCTCAAATTGATGTATCGCTCAACCGGCTCAACTGGCCCACCACAAGCGACCTCACGACACCCACCTTTGCAAGCCCCTACGTGGGCCACACCAACTGAGTCGCTACCTGGAGCAGCTGAAGGAAGATTTGGAAAGATGAAACATGATGAATACCTTCCAAACCAGGTACAATTGCGTAACTCCATTGTGGTGATCACGGCTTTCCCCACAAGCATATGGAGCAGCCCACCAGTGGGAGAAAGTAGCCGCTACTGAAGACCGCAGGTCCAATTTGATGTGCTTTTTAAATACTGCATGATGATCAGCTTAAAATCAGCAAGAAATCGTCTGCCCTGCATTTAAAAAACAGCTGATACAAGTAGGTGGCAAAAGCCGTGTTTTGATTCCAGGTAACAGTCTTTGCTCGAGCGTGTCGGTAATGTTCTGATGCTGCAGGCCTTTCGTAAGCTGGATGAAACCATGACTGGTTTATTTCTCAAAGAGACTAAATAAGACAGATGTGCATGGATATGTCTCGTAAACAGCAATACTTTCATCTCTAAATGGGGGGAAAAGAAATGTAAGGACATGATGAAAAACCAAAGGTACTCACCTTTCATACTGCTGGACAAGAAGAGAGTGGCCCACCAAAGACGGGCCTGCTGCCGTTTTAGGTTTCACTATATAACATTCATGGGTGGACGGAGATCTGACTGACTGAAATTTTTCCTCTGAGTTGTCCCTCTTTGAAGACCCCCCCCCCCGCCTCCCTTTATCCGATTCCCATTCAGACACCCCACACACAAACGCGCGCACGCGCACTCACTCCCCACAGCACACTAGAGGTCTGTGCTGTCTGTGTGGTGGGCAGATTGCGTAACCTTTTGACACACACATTCTCCCAGGGCCTTTCTGTCCAGAGAGCAGCTAGAGAGCACAGGGGGGGCAGGGGGGGCTTGTCACAGTCGTGTTTTGGTGGCCCATCAGATTACATCACAGGCATTGACACGTGTGCGTTTATGTGCAAGGATCCAACCTTTTGGAGATTAAGAAAAGCCCCCACGGGCGAATTGCTTTGCGTGCACTAATCAATTTTGAGCTTTTGGGTTGTTTTGCTTTCATGACAATTGTTGTTTCAAACAAAATCTCAAATATACGTTTAGATGTTTGTTTTACTTTAACACTTTGACTATTTGCTTCTGAACTTTTCTTTTTAAATCACCAAAGGTTAGTGTGGATAAAATCCTATTTCCATTTTAAACAACACTAAAACAAAAAACTTAAAAGGAAAATTGTCTATACTATACAGTTTCTTGGTAAACTAATTGTTTTCACCTGTATTTTCTTTAATTTCTCTTTTCTTCTTTCTTCCACTTCAGCATCTCTTCCATTCCAATTAAATGGATGCGTTTTATCCTAAATACATCGAACATTTTCTTTACTCAACATCTAACATCACATTTAAACCCAACATCTCAGAAAACCAACTGCCAGAGTTTCATGGTTACATCTATTGGTTAATTCTTCACTCTGGGTGTCTCCAGTTTTAATAAAAATGCATCAACTGCAAAACCTGCAATTTACAATATTTCGAAGGTCCACTTTGACTGAGTATAATTAAAACATGTCTCTTGCTTCATGAAGCCCCTTCTCCAAACACATCCTTAATTCAGCCTCAGGGAAAGAGTCTTTATTCCCCCCACAGACCCAGTGGCCCATTCAGAACATTTTCCCACCACAGGGGTCCAGAGCGGCCCGCTTCAAGGCGTTTGTTAGAAGGTCACGACCCAGAGGGTCTTAATGGAGGTGGGGATTGGAGGGGGGGGGGGTGCTTCTACTTTTCCTGTTTGAAATTTCCAGGGTGATTTCCAGGGGTCTTTTTTGTAAACTCCCCACCGCACCCCCACCTAAAGTCAACTTATAATTCAAGACACATTAGCTTCCTAAAAAAAGGGAGCAGTCAGTTTGACTTTAGTTTTGTGCCAGAATGTTCTTTTTATGTATGAATTATCTGGTTAATCAGTTGAAAACAGTTGGAAAAACGTAACTTAGCTACAGTAACGGCATTAAACACGTTTTGCAACCACATCCGTTTGTCTAATTCCTTCTAATCACGTGACCTCATGCTTTCCAAACAAAAATGGATCATTCATAAGGGACGCAACGTCCTCGTCCCCAACAACCAAATGTTTATAGAGCATTTAGAGGACCGATAAGCAGAATAATACTTTCCCCCACTTTCCCCCACTTTTAGATTTCTGCAAAATCAAATAATCCATTGTGTACGTACAAATATTGACTTAAACCCTTTCAAAGGGCAGTGGGGAGGGGCTTGTGCCATAAGAGTTATCTGTAAAAGGTTTGCCAATCAAAATGTAGACGCTATTGTAAAAGGCTGCTGACGGCTGTCGCTTCGTGGTTATAAACCTTTAATATATAAAAAATGTCCAGTGTTATCATGTAAATGTCCTTACATTTGAATTGAGACTACATTATTGCCATTTACTGCGTGTCATCTTTCACAGAGGTTTATCGAAACAACTCAACTGGTCCAAAAGGGAGTTTCCGTTTCCACAAGAAGACTTTTTCAAACCTACATCGATCTGTTTTTAATTAAAGTGTACATTCTCCAGACAAGCATGTGTATATATATATATATATATATATATATATATATATATATATAATATATATATATATATAAATGTATGTATTAGAATGAACACTCTTCTGTAAGATATCATGAGGTGTTTCTCGGTTTGGACGACAAACCAGGCAGGTTTTTGAGTTCAGGTAAATAATGCGTAAGTGTAAATCACAGTTTGGAATCCATGTTATCTGCCCTCCTCATGCCGGCCGCGGTGTTGTGGTTTTCTTTATAGCCTACATGCTAGAAAAGTGCACGTGCACGCTAACGTTACGCCGCTAAATCCATCTTGTACAGAGTCCTGCAGCAATGAGCCCTAAGACCCGGACACGAGTTTCACTTCTTCTTTCACTTTAGTTTCACACGTCTATTTAATGGGATTTTAGTTAGATGTTTTTAAAATAAGTTATTTGCTTAACAAAAGCTTAAAAACATTTTGTTCTCTAAATGTCACTAAATGTCCCTCTGAAGAATTTTGTGCAGGCCGCATCTAACATAACTGAAATAAAATAAAAATAAAAATAACATATTTTGGAAAGCCTCCTTTTCCCTTGGGCACATTTGGGAATCTGGAGTGTCTACCAACCCTGTCAGTTTTTCGGTGGGCCGCATGAGTCCGACAGCGTGTGATTGAACTGATTTGAGTTTACCTCCACCCATCTGAGTGTCTCCAACCACAGCAACACGCCAGTGGAGGAACTAATGAACATAAATGAGACATGGAAAAAAAGCCAAACAATAATCCCCCACCCCCCCAAAAAACGTAATAATTGATCAAATAGAGACAAAGAGAGATAAACCATTAGAGGCCCCTAAACTCTGGACACAGAGCCCTCATTGTACAGTGTTCACAGCCACGATGCCAAACCTCATCTCCTAACAGCACAAGCAGAGCTCTGCTTCTTTTTATGAGATCTGCGAAAACTGAAACTTCTGTTCTCCTGAAATGACATTTTTTTATATTTCTAGTTCTCTCGGACTTACACAACTACTTGATCTATTGTCTGCTCTCATGTGGATGATTATTTCCAGCCTTGCATCGAGCGAAGTACAGGACTCTCGTCGCTTTTGGTTGGCTTTAGGTTCCATCACGTGGCCATTAACGCCAAAATACCTGTAGCTGAATGACCATCCACATGTGTTCATTTACACGATGTGTTTTACCACATTCAATCCAAAGAGGCACGTTTTCAAGCAGACCCGTATTTATTGCAGCAGGGGCATCAATTCATTTCAAGAACAGTCGTAATGAACAATGAACTGTCGTTGAATATGTCACATTATCCTCACACGCAACCACAGAACAACTTCTAACGTCTGTAAAACGGGTCACGTCTCTGTGCTTTTCTCTCGGTGTGACCATGAGCCCTCTAGTGTTGACTGTGAAAATGTACCGGAGCAAACGGCGCTGGTGAAATCAGGCAGAGCGTTAATATTCATCGTGAAACGGGTACTCTGGATGGTCACTCCACCTGCGTCGAAACAACAGAAAGAAATGCCGTCATTTCTAAGTACAATGATGAGCACGATGGCGAGGTCTTATTCGTCCTTTGGGAAATAAAAAACACAGCAAAAGAAGCATGGAAATACACACAAGGATTCATTGATATGTCTTCCTGCATATAAACGTATACTTGCATCAGCAGCTCCACAAAGCGAGTGTTTTTGTTCAGCGCCTCAATGGCTTTCATTTCTCCCTCGGTGAGTGAAAAGTCAAAAATCTGGAACAACACGAGATTCTCTGTCATCAAGACGCCGGAATTTGATTCATGAATTCCGTATAAAATAGAGATTTGTTATACACACGCTTGTATAGTAAAAAGCCACCTGGAAGTTGTGTCTGATCCTGTCGGGGCTGAAGCTCTTGGGGATCACGGCGACTCCTCGCTGAACGTTGAAGCGCAGAGCCACCTGAGCGGGACTCTTGCTGTACTTTTCCCCAATGGACACAAGCAGCTCGTCTTCCAGCAGGGGAGGAGATTTCACATTCACCCTGAACCCAAGACGGAAGAAAACACAAACAATCATCATTTGGTTTTGTCAGATATATATATATATAATCTGGGTCATTGCCAAAGGATAAGGATGATCTCGGTTCCATTATTTCCATGTCTCGTTTTAGCTCTTTATCTGGATACATACCAGGACGTGTCTCTGGACGAGCCGATTGGGCAGTAGCCAACAATCACGATGTCGTTCTGACGACAGAACTCCAGAAGCTTGGGTTGTGTGAAATATGGGTGGCACTCAACCTAAACGTAAGCAAGAACACAATTAAAAAGAATACTGGCACAACGTTATCCACCTTTATAATAGCCAGCCTGTTTTAGAACTAAATCTAATTGATTTGGAATTGAGTGAAAGGATCCGATCCTGTCGCCTCCGATAAACGATGCAAAAGAAGGATTTTCTTTTTGTGAAAAGAAGATTCATCTTAGTCTGTTGAGTATTGAGCATTTCTCCTATAAAACGTGAGGAGGCGTGTAGGGTCACCTGGTTGGACACGGGCTTGTGTTTCAGGCCCGGTTTGTTCAGCAGCAGCTCCAGCTGGCGCCGATTGAAGTTGGAGACTCCCAGAGACTTAACCAGCCCGGCGTCTTTGCAAGCTTCTAAAGCCTGTTGAGAGGAAAAGATTCACGTCTTCATCATCTTTATGAGGCGGTCCTTGACAGCCACGACTTCTAAGGATGAAACGATTTTCACCAACAGTTTCTCATTCGGCATTTTTCTGCTCGCACATCAGATGTTTTCTATCAATGCACGAACCAAAATGCATTTCCTTCATGTTGTTAAAGATGTCAGTCAAATACAATTCAATAAAATACACTAAGTGCAATATGAATAAATACACTAAGTGCAATATGAAAAATGCCGCACAACAGGAGGACAAGAGGAGAAGTCGCGCAATGGCAGGAGCGTCTATTTGTGTACCTCCCATGTTGCACACAGGTCTGTGTGGTGGTAGATGTAGTTTCCATCCTGGTCTTTTGGATAGAACTCATTTCCAGGCTAAAACAATAAAGACAATTCAAGCATTTCATCAACACTTGAATGGAGCTGCTCGCAGTGATTCGCATTTGTCTTCAATTTGACTGGATAACTAAGATGTGACTAAGAAATGCATGCCAACTCTGCTAAATGTTTCCAACAGTATCCAAACATACCCCTGGCTGTCTATTTAAGTCTGAAACCTAAAACTCACTTAAAATACATTTTCATAAATTTCATATCTGGTACATATTTGTTGACTAAAAAGAGACATCGTACTGGGAGCAGTTTTGTTCAGGCTTTTAATCATATTCTTACTCCAAAGCAGCCTGTTGAACAGGGTCAATAGTATGCTATCCAAAACCAAACAGCACCAGAGTAGCATAGGGGCAATGTTCACACAGTAAACGAACAACTGATAAGGGAACTGCATGCTATGTTTGTGCTGCTCAGAAACCTTGAAGGCCATGGGGAGCTCGACAATGTAGAGATCCACGTAGTCCAGTTTTAAGCTCCGCAGCGTCCTTTCTAAGGCCGGCCGCACCAACTGTGGCGGATGAAAGGTGTTCCAGAGCTGAGGAAGACAACACAGAACTACTTAGAAAACATCCAAATGTACAAAACACCCCACATGTGACAGAATGCATCACCTTTCCGCAGTAAAAGATGTCCTCCCTTCGGACGGTTCCATCAGCAATCTTCTCTCTGATGGCTTGACCCACTTCGTGCTCATTGAAATACACCAATGCCCCGTCGAAGTGCCTGTAACCCTCATCTATGGCCAGCTTGACACAATCAAGCGCTGTGCCTTTCGCCGTCTATCATGAATTCAGAAAACAATATTTTGGAACCGCTGTAGATTCGGATGATCAATGGTCGTTGAGTTATAATCGATCCAATCACAGCGAGTAGTGAAAACAGACACTCGTAAGTCACAGAGGATCCCTCTTCAGGGCTCACATGCACATCTGGATACACACTGATTATGTTCTTCTCACCGTTCGGGGGTCCCCATAGGTGCCCAATCCCAGCACTGGAATATGGTTCCCGTCACTGAGAGGGATACGGTGGCTCTCTGCTGTCAGATTCATGTGTGTGAAAAGGTGGATGAACTGAAGGGGCCTCTCGCTTGATTACTGTGCCAGTTATTTACGAGAGGAAGTGAACCTTGAACCCGGGTGTTTCGCTGAAGGCAGAGAGCATTAGCAGCTCGAGCCGTAATTCCTCTATTGGTGACACATGTTTATTCCCTTTTAAAAGTGTGATCTGCATATCATGTACGATCTTACGGTTACTATTTCACTTATTGTTGTTATTATTGCAGTTTAAATATAAACAATTGAAGGATGCAGAACAACGAATGCATTTAATATTGAGGAATTACGTCTCTTACTCAATTACTCAACTTTAACAGCTGCCGCCAGCGCTTTGGGCCCCATCACCTCTCTCCTCCTCTGCCACAGTCTTGGATTCTATTGAAGTGACCCAGACCCTCCGAATCCATCACACAAGCGAGAATCCCGCAATACAACAGTAAAGAATCCATAATGAGATATAAAATCTATATATACGTGTGTACATGACAACGAGTTTTACAAGGAATCTGCAACAAACTCCAACGAGTGAGTGACTTTCATACCTCTCTGTCTAACGTCGTCCTTCCATCTCATTCTGTCATTTTAGCCACAAAGACCATGGTCTTCTCATTGTGTTTTGCTCTCTCCCCTTTTGGCAGGTTTCAATCTTTGCAGGTCAAGTGTTATTAGTGCATGCTTGCTTTAACTTTCAATTATGTTTATACGACTGCAGTTAATCTCCCTTGCTGTGAGATTTCTTCATTAAGGTCAGGTTGACTTTTTTTTGGTCCTCGTTGCTCGTTCTCTCTTTCGTGGAAGATGAGCAGAATATATGAGGTCACTTCGTACGAATTCCTCAACACTATTAAACAACCGCCCAAAAACAATGAAATGTAAAATGTAACTCAAAGGGAAAAAATACGTGGCTGGGGGCGTGGCCTAGTGGTACCGGTCCAATAAACCAACGTAACTATTTCTTCTTTTTAACATCAACTTTGGGGGGATATTCACTTGTTTCAGGATCGCCAAAAAAATACTACCGTGGCTGTCAACACATCCGGGAGCCGAGTTCCGGCCTTCAAAATAAAACAAAGGTCTCCGAGTATCAACCGTATGGATCGCACGTAGACGTGCACCCGTTTATGTATATTCGTTACATTGACCTGTAGATCCATCGACGTGTGTGATGCAGCGTTACTTTAGTGTCGCTCCCGATCGCCGAAGAAAAATGACATCGACCGGAAAATGCGTCACAGCGCGAGCGTCCGGTTTAGGCCAATGAAAGCGAGGCCGAACGACAAAAAAGGATGATCCGGAGGAGAGAAGGGTGCGAGATGCAGGTGAGAGAAGATGCGGAGGGGACTGCCCGTCACCTCGTAGGCCTCATCGAGCAGCAGATGGACGGCTGCGTGGACGAGCGGGACACGGCGCGCGGGCACGATGCCGAGAACGAAGCCGAGAGCATGCAGGTGCGAGAGGAAAAGTCCGGCGCCACCGGCCAAAAGCACCTGGACACTTGCCCCGTTTGCCGGCTGAACTTCCACAGTCGGGAACCCAAACTTCTGCCCTGCCTGCATTCTTTCTGCAAGAAATGTCTGCCCGCGCCCTGGAGGAATTTGGCCGCGGCAGAGCCGCTAAACTCCCCCAGACCACGTGAGTCACTTTGTTTGTGTTTACAAACAGTGTGATCCATGGATCGATCATCTTCGTGCAAGGCATAGAGAGAAAATACAAATACAATCAAAAAGGCTTTGAGTTATTTGATCAAAACGCACAATTGTATTTCCCAGTTTTGCAGACCAATTGTGTTGCTTGCAGTGAACGTGATGCGCTGTCCGGTGTGCAGGCAGGAGTGCATGGAGGTAGATGTGATGGAAAACGTCTTTGTGAAGGACTCCGTTGAGGCTCCCAGCAGCACAGTGGAGAGGGCAGTCCAGGTACAAAACGCCTCACCCCCCCTCAGTGTGTATCCTGGTGATCATAATACACACTGTCCTGTGCCCTGAGGGTTTGGCTCCGATCATTCATTTCATCCACTTTGACGTCATGTTTGCAAATCATATCACATCTGATTCTCTCCATCAAACACGCTGGTTTCTCTCACCTACCTGTAGCTCTGTATGACCTGCGACGACAACACCGAAGCGGTGGGGTTTTGCGTGGACTGTGTGGAGTACCTGTGTTCCACGTGTGTGGAGGCCCACCACAGAGTCAAATTTACCAAAGACCACACCATCAGACAGAAGGCAGAAATCATGCACGGTATTCCAACCAGTGTCTGTGAAATAATGTGTTGTTTCCACGACAATGGCAGGAGCTTCGGTGGCATCAGTGCTGCAAATGTCAGACTTTGCTTTGTTTTAGTACAGAACTTGTTATAGATTACAACAACTAATGATTTAAGGAAAACATTATTATTCATCCAAATGTAAGTATACAATAAAATAAAAATGGCCAAGTTGAACTGCCATTTTTCCAACTTGCAAGTTACCCAGAATGACGAGCCCCCTGTTGCTTCCCAGAGGTCCACGGGGCGTCGCCTCAGAGGCAGATGTTCTGCAACATCCACAAACAAGAGCCGCTGAAGCTGTTCTGTGAGACCTGTGACCTGCTGACCTGCCGTGACTGCCAACTGGTGAAGCACAAAGACCACAAGTACGTGACATTAATATTACATTATGTCATTATATCCTATATGGAAACGGTTCATACATTGATTTGACACATTTTTATGAATTATCTGTACTCAACCCTGCACGTTCCATCACTCCATTGAGAACAATTCCTTTTTTTATGCCGTCCGCTGACTGCCTTTTTTCTTTGGAGCAGTTACCAGTTCCTTGAAGATGCTTATAAAAGCCACAAGCAGCACATGGAGAACATGACCCATCAGCTGCAGGAGAAAAAGAAACACATTGAAGAGATCTCAAACTCCATAAACAAAGGGTAAAATGTACTTCCACACACCACAAGAGTACACATGCCAAGTATGCAAAGTATATGTAAAGTATATATGAGTATACATCCATCTGCTCTCGCTCAATACTGGATCCATTTCAGAAGTTGATATCCAGTCATTTATTAGTTGGTCAGAGAGAAAAACAATAAGTTACTCTGAAAACATCCAACATGTGTTTTGAATAATGTGCCGGTTGATTTGGGACGTATGAAATGCTCACCCTGAGTTTGAATGTATGTTTTTCAGACTCCTTCAGGTTGATCAGAACCGCACGTCAGTCCATGATGAATTAAAGAAATCCATCTGCAGTTTGATTCTGGAGATAAACAAGAAGGGCAAGATGCTAGCTAATCAACTTGAGGTACGACAAAGGCTTCGGAATATAACCCCACGATGACACATATACACTCACTAGTTCCCGTCTTCCAGGCTGTAACAAAGGACCACGAGAGTGTCCTCCGAAAACAACAGGAGGACATCGGCTATCTGTCCAGGCACCTGGACCACGTCATCCACTTCACCAAATGGGCCACAGCCAGGAGCGGGGGAACGGCCCTCCTGTACTCTAAACGCCTGGTAAGGCTCGTCTGGTCTTTGTCCACTATCCCCCCCAACCCCCCCACTTGTGAGCTGAGGATGTGGGAACATATGCCTTTCGTAACCAACAAGTGTCCCCCTGAAAATTCTGTTACAGATTCTGTTTCAGATTGGAAACCTCCTGCGGGCGAAATGTAGTTCCTCGTTTATACCACAGAGCACTGTGCGCTTCCACAGTCGAGCCTCTTACTGGGCGTCAAACGTCGATCTGGGTAAGATATAAAACAAATGTCTCGGTGACACAAACTCATCAGGAATGCTGAGATTATTTCATTCATTGTGTTTATTTGTATCAAAATTTTTCTGTAGTTTATTATCGGCTAATTCTCAGAATATTATTAAAGTCTAGTTTATGCTTCTGCGTTTTCAGAGAGCCGCAAGGGACACGCAAACACGCAAGAGGCCTTTGCGAAGTCCCTTGCGTGTCTTTTCACACCTCCTTGTGTGCGTCGACCCATTTTTCTAGACTAACTACGCAGCCTCCCGCAGCACCAGGCTGTGATCGGTCCGCTAACTACGTCCTTTACGGAGTCTCACATTCCCACTTTCATAGCCCGATACGGCCATTATTAAAAGGAAGAATGTTTACGAGACAACGGAGCAGATTGATTAAATATGAGCGCTTGTACAAGCCGTCATTGGCGGACTATAAGGCCTCTGATTCGTGGAGGGAGATCGAACCCTTTTTACGCTCCAGACGAATGAAAATAGACCAGGGAACGTCTTTTCCATCACGCATCAGCCCATTTTCACTGCTCGCCAAAGATCCCCCTTCTATTGTTGCTTGCATTTGGGTTTGGGTCTTGTCTTCTACGATAATGTATCATCATTGGCCATTCAGAAAAAATCCCAAAAGACTTGGGACTCAACTGATACAAATTCTTTGTTACAAATGTTTGTCCCCAAAAGCTTTCCACACTTTCTCTCTCCCACATTTCTGTGCAGAAGTTTGTGTGTTTTTCCTTCCTAGTTGTTGTGCTCATCCCGTCTCTGTGTGGATGTTCCCCTCAGGCTCTTTAGTGGCGGAGAGTGTGCCAGGCAATCAGCCGGGTGGTTTTCAGGGCATCCCACATCAGCTCTCCCACCCTGGCCCCCCCTCAGGTTCGGCCCACAGCTTTGCCCTGGGAGCCCCCCACGACACTCTGACTCAGCTCCAGATGCAGGTGGACAAGCTCACCCCGCAGGGCGACTGGCAGCCCCGACCGCCTCCTCCGCCCCGGTCGTGGTACCAGAGTGTCCGGCTGCAGCCGACCGTCCCGGGGCCCCCGCGAGGAGGCGGCTCTCCCTCCCTCCAGCCAGCTCGCAGGCTTACGGGGCCCCCTCCCAACCGAGTCAGCCCAACGAGCAGCCTAGCGAGCCCTGAGTTCACGCCACAGGTCAGCGTGCGTGTGTCGCTTTGACAGACAGGCCTTCTTAACGAGCAGCGACAGTGGAGGACGTTGTCCTAAATAGAGCTGACAGCCTTCACGTCCCAGGCAATTTATGTCTTTCCTTGTCGAGATGAATTTTAATCTTGGACAAGTTTATGACTCAAAATCACAAAATACGACGCAGTTAAATGTGCAGCGCAACAGCGAGCCAACAAGATTCCATCAGGGTTGATAACATCTCGTCATCCAAGTTGTTTAGTCTGCTCCGGGTGTTTTTGTTCCAGCTGTCAAGTATCGGCTCATTGGCGGGACGATACTTGGTGTGTGAAGTGCACACGCAAGTTGTGTCATACTGACGTGAACAAGCTGCTGTAGCTGCACAGCGACCTCTCAAATGATCTCCGTTGTTAAGAGATGTACCAGTGTTACATTAAGTGTGTATTTAATGACTTTTCTCTTTTTTAAAGCAGGCTGCGGTCGCTCTAAGGTCGTGTGTGCCGTAGCAGTTGTTCTTCTCATTACGTCACGGCATAACTTAAAGAGATTTAAGGATAACCATCATAAATTCGAGGGTTATTAAGTACACATTCTGCTTGACAATGCAACTGTGAGTGTAGATTCATTCCAGAGGATTACCTTCTAGGGTGAAGAGGCCTGACGAGGCAAGTGGATTTTCATACAGTTGAGAAATAAATGGAAACTAATAGCGTGGTGGAAGGTAAGTGGGTTAGTAATCAAATGAATATGCGTGTTTTCAGCTGAACATTTGGGAATATCTCCGGGTGTTTTGCGTCTGCGTTCAGGCGCCTGTGCTCCTGTCAGGGTGATGAGCGCACTGTTCACCTCCGCCGTCACACGCTCACAGACGCTGACGGGAATGCAGGATGAAAGTGATTGCAGCCTTTCCATCCATCTTCCTCTTTCTGCGTCTTGTAGCCTCTGAGGGGGATGGGCGGCGGCTCCATCTACCAACCCAAAGCCATGGATGTGTTCTCCCCTTCACCTCCGTACGCCCACGGCGGCAGCTCGCCGCAGTCACGACAGACGGCAGGTGACTCCATCCAAAGGAGACTGTATTGACATAGGTCTTATTCACAATGCAGTAAACAACATGCCGTATTGTGTTTAGATGGAGCCTACGTACGTGAGGAATGACCCACGTGGTCCGGTCTATGTGCTGAAACCAAACTATCCCCACAACCCGCCACCGGCTTTGCACCACAGAAGCGTGCAAGGAGAGCAGAATTCACCAGGGTACGCTGCCGCGTCCCAGGAGGAGAAACCGGGGTAAGGAGACCGGTGCATGCGCACTAATGCCCTTTGTGCCAGCGGTCTGTCTGGGGCACTTTGCTTCACTCTGATTGGCTCTTGCTTTGGACCCAAGGACTGTTACCTGGAAACCTCCAGAAACACAGCAGGCTGGGGGAGCGGTGGGCTCGGCTGTCAAGAAAAGACGGAGATCGTCCCCAGTGCCCATCATCGTAATAAAAGATGAGCCAGATGAGGACAGCAGCTACGTAAGGAGACCACAGTCCAATTCATATTAGTATACGGTATATTAGAATTTTGATGGATTATTCTTGTCCAAAGTGTCCTGCTGTCCCAAGACTAACTGAGATTCAATTCAAAGGAAAATTGTGGTTTATTACCACCAGGCCATCGTTCCTCCCGTGTAACGCTACCGCAGCAACACAGCGTAGCCGGATTGCAAAGTGAATGACACAAAAACAACAACATCAAAATGGAGTCTATTTATTACTATGATCATTATCACCTTTTTTCTCCCTGTTTGGGGATTTCAGGTTCAAAGCAAACAAAGATCCAGCCTCCCCGACAGCACGGGGGACCAACCCCCTATCAGCGCCCGCGGAGAGGAGAACAAAGGCCCAACTCCTCTCCGGAGCACCGGCGCCGAACCCCACAGCCGCCCTCCGCCTCCCAGCAGCCCGCGGGACCAGAGGGGAGGAGCCCGGCCCCCCGCTCCGCTGGACGACCCCACTGGAGGCTGGTGTGCTGCGTGTCACACTGGGGGGCAGCTGCTATGCTGCCATAAGTGTGCCAGGCTTTTTCACCTTTGGTGCCATGTTCCAACTCTCCTCAAATATCCCAGGCAAGCACGGAGAGGGCAAATGAATAATTGAATGCTCTTCGATGATCCCGTTTACTGGCTTTTGTATCGAGTCTCTGCACCGTTTGGTTCCAGTGGCGAATGGCTTTGCTCTCTGTGCCGCGACCCGTTAGCGCCCGAGATGGAGTACGACTGCCAGGACGAAGCTGGAACTGAAAAGAAGGAGGCAGGATTTTCCCCCGTGGACAAACGAGTCAGTGCTCTTTTTCTTTCTGGTTTACACTAAAGATGATAGAATTCTACTAATTATAATTATAAAACCGTTTGCATAACTGTTTGGAAAGCAGAATATGGCTTAATGTGGCTTAATGCTCAAACTGTGTCTCTATCCTCACCCTGCTGGGTTAAACAACAGTTAGCTCATGTTACAGTGCCCCCCTTCCTGTACCTGTGTTTCGTTTGTTTGTCAGTTATCTACTAAGTCCTTTCTCTTCTTATGCCGCTGCAGAAGTGTGAGAAGTTGCTGCTGCGCTTGTTTTGCAGCAAACTAAGCTCCGCCTCCCCGGGGCCCGGGGCCCCCTGGGTGAGTCTGGAAGCCCGGCGGTCACAGGATTAATGTCACACAGTGTTACTGTAACTGTTACTTTAATGATGCGTAATATGCAGTATTTATCAGTGGACATTATGTCTCTATTTGCCCCGAGGATGTGAATGGATGGACATGAACAGTCATAGTCTATAAGCTGTGATTTCACAACACAGCGCTATACTTGTGTGCATTTTGCCTTGAAATATATGTGTTCATTAAAAACCATCTCATCTGTCTCATAATATTAATCCCCGTTTCACAAATTGTATCTTCTTATCACCTCCCTCTGTGAGTACTGCAGGTATGTGCTAATAACTGGCCGGCCATCAAGGGAACAACGAACCTCTCGGCTGTGAAAGAACGACTGGAGGCCAATCAGACTCCGTGCTACCGAAGCCCTGCACACTTTGTATCAGACATCAGGCTCCGCTTAGGGAACGGCTCAGCGCTCAGTGAGGTACCTACGAAGGAACCTTTTTCTACTACGCAGTTCTTGACACATGATGAACTACTTTTCCCTCGCCGTCGCTGACAGGTCGACACGCAGGTCACCGCGGCAGGCAGGAGGCTTAAGGAGCTGTTTGAAGAGCAACTCGGGATCGTCTTCCCCGAGCAGACCTTTCCAGAAACCAAACTTGAGAGGATACCTGCTGGCCCTCCTGACTCCCAGCTCTTGTCTCTTGACAATATAATCCAGCGTGCAAAGCGCCAGCGCACATGCTCAGACTCCCAGGACGCGCCGAGCCGTCCCAGTGGAGCGGAGGGAACAAATCTTCTCAATCGTTCGGATATTTGACACTTCCAGCAGCAGCTAATATGTGGTGTGTCACACAAAAATGAATTCTACATGATCATCAGGTCACCCACAATGTGTTGTATGTTTACCGATGAAATAGCGAGCAAAGAAGTGAGATACAACAGATAAAGCTGACCAGTGTGTTTTAGATCAACTTGCTCTCACCAAATGACAGCTGTCATGACGCAGTAAATGATCCAATCATTCGTCGGCTGATCGATGGCGTGTCCAGGTCTAGTGTGTTGTTCCTGCTCTCAGTGTGTAAATATTAAAGTGACGGGGAAGGACGTGAATCTTTGTAGAGTCAAATGCATTGCGGGGCCCCTGGAGGCCAGTAAAGTGAAAACATGAAAGGAATCGAAGCCGTGTGAGATGTTACATTGTCCCACGTCATTAAACACTTCCTGCTTGGTTGGCTTTCAGGTTAATGTTACGGGTTATTGTACGTCCATTTACAATGAATCTATTGTCTTCAGATGCTATGTGAGACTGTTTCAACTTTTACTGAGATCATTTCAGTAATACACGATCTGCTTTCCTATAATAACCCAGAGCCAGAACATTTAGCCATACAGGTGAACTCGCAGGTGTTTACAGTGTGAAATAAAACACGATTCTTGGTAAATATGAATGTTGTTACCTACTTGAAATGAATCTTTCTGACATTACAACTTAAGACATTGCTGTTTTTGTTAAGACACTTTCTCCTTTAACAAGCGAACAGCAAACAAGTCTTCTGGGCCCCTCTGGTCCCCACGGGGCCCCCGAGTGCCGGGCTGTGTCAGTGGCCCTCTGCTGATTGACACAGACGTGGCAGGACGCCCTTTGTTCGGCTTCAAAGGAACTGTACTCTGCCCGCCCACAGCGGGATTAACACCCTGAATGCGGCCCCGGCCCCTCCAATGGCCTCCACCTATGAGCTGGGGGGGGGTCAGCGCCCGCTGCTGTTTCTTGTTAAGGCCGGAGGTGTAGAGGAGGACTGCTGTGCTTTAGGCCGCCACTGATCTGCCTCTCATTTTGGGGGCATTGGTCTTTTGTTATGTGGCCTCTGAAGGCCAATTATCTATTGTCTACGTCACGCTGAAGTAGAGATAAGATAAAGGGCCTCGGTAAACGGGGCCCGGTGTCGTGGTGGTGTAGCTTCACAGAGGGGGTTGCCACATCCTCGACTGATAATCATCTGTAGGAAGCTTATCTGTGCTGCCAAAGCAACTTTTAACTTACAGTTTAAATCTGTTTTCTGGACTCTTGTGATACACACCTGGCTGTGCTTTTGTGGTTGTTGGGGTCCAATCGATGTCTTGGGATGCGACAATGTCGATTGCTTCGAGATATATGTTTTCCTTGTGCTACTGTAACATTAAAGACAAAAATAAAAGCTGTTGTTCTCTGCAAGCTCATTTTTAAGGTCTTATCAGGGAAAGAAAGCAATCATACAAAAGGACCGTTTTATTTTCCAGAGGATAAATGACAAAAGTTTAACTTAAATCTCCACTTTAATCAGTTAAACCAGCTCTGCAATACTTGATAATAAAACAATAGCGAGCAAAAGCAAATAACAGTCATGAATGTTTATTGTGCATCGTGGGTTGTACATTCACTAATGGAAAAACATAGATCACGTTGGACTGAGGAGGACACAGATTGAGACACAAACTTAAAGAGTGCAGTGCAACACATACATGCGTCGTATACAACGGTGGGCCGCTGATATCAAGTCCTTGGTGATGTGTCTAAACTGCTAGACTGGTGGTGGAGACATGTGGCTCTGATTAGAGGATCATTTAACCTCTGTCACCACGCCCAGAGTCAGTAGACTGATTGAATTCGCAGAGGGCAAGTTGGTACAAAAATGTTTATAATGCAGTCTAGCTATTATGTCTCCATTCCTTGCCAATTCTGGTAGACTTCAGTGTGTGTGTGTGTGTGTGTGTGTGGCTTGTTTATACCCAGCGCCTCACAGCTCCTGATCACTCTGGCTGATGTGTGCCCGCATCCGTGGCCCAGTTACAAAATCTTTAATTCATTCAATTTGAGGGGAAAATGCCTCATTTTCTTTTGTGCAGCTGCAAACTGTGACTGCAGAGGGAAATGGGCCATAGAAGTAGACACGCAGGGACCTTCAGTACCACTTTGCACAGACAGGACATATGCAACAATACAGAGGCAGTTTCCAATTAAATCCATCATCTTCCTTATATCTTCCAATATTTACTTTTTGATTTCCCTATTTCCTCTGGCTGAGATATGCAAACGGTTTCATGGCTTACAGTCTGGACACGACCACGAGACATTTTCGAAATACCCCAAAACCGGCTCCAGATGTTGAGTAATCAGTACAATCATTAGTCTCCGAGAGCAAAAGTCTACTCTGCCGTTGATGGGGAGACACTTTCCATGTGTGCATGCCTCACAGCACAGGAGCCTGAGGTCACTTGCAATTCCTCCAGAAGGCAATAAAACGTTATGTCCCTTCTACATGTGAAGCATTTGAGAAGATCAGGCCTCCTGTTGTCATTTACAATACAAAGTCTCTCCAGTCGAAGCATATTTGTAATGGTGCTAAAATGAGCAGGCTTCAGCTCGGTTCCCGGTTCCCGGGCCGCTGTCCGCCCGCCCCTCGCGGTGTCATAAGCAGCCGCGCCCCCCTGCGTCTCCTTCGCTGCGCCGTTTGTTCCCACTGGCGCAGAAGAAGCGATCGGACACGTTCGTCTTTGGTCTTGTCTCTCCGTGTCTCCGAGTCTCTGCTCATCCGATGGGTCCGTGCGCGCTGCTGCTGTGCTCGGTGTTCGGACTTCTCCTGGGACAAGGTAAGTTACCTTTCTCAGGAAGAGTCTGCGGTCTGAAGAAGGAGCGCACCGTATTATATGGCAAGGTAACTTTTGCCATGCGTGTGTGAAACTAGTGGTAAAAGACAAAGAGTGACACGAGGGGGGGTGATGACTAGTTGGGGCATGTGATGAAAGCACAGCTCACAATGCATGCGAGCTTCAAAGGGTTGCAGGGGGTTACTGGTTCAAATCCTCCCGTTATGTAATCACATCAAATGAATAAATACAATAAAATATCATCATCATCATCATTGTTTTCACTTCACACCTACAATGAAGTGAATGATATCCCGGGTTTTATGAGGTAACGTCTTTATCTTTGCAGTTTGTTAGTTGAAAATATCATGTCTAGAAGTAAACAGTGTCTGTAACTCACTCGGTCTTTACATATTATCGACTCTATAGATCATTTATAAAGATGTGGCACGACGTGGGGAGGGTTAACGCTAAGAAATTGAAAGCAAAAGTTCTCCCTGACCTGGTTTCTGTACCTTCTGCCTTGCAAGTCAGACGCCAAGTGCCCTGGTATGTTGTGAAGCTACCCAAGCGTCTCACCAGGACCGGGTGGCCTGGACAGAGGAGTGTGATTTATACCGACCACAAAGCTTGTGGTTTCCTGCTCACACACGGGGCAACTTTCACAGCCAGCGGGGCCTTCTCTGCAGGGGGTTGTGTCCCGGGTCACTTTGGAGTGAATCCACTCAGCTATCAGCTCGATCAGTGACTCAACCAAAACCCCTAAACAAATGAAACATAGCCAAGAGTGTGAGCCTGTGAATAAAAGCCTTGATTGTAGCCTGTGAGACACATGCTTTCTGCTGTTGGGATGTGTGTCTGCAGCAGACTGCTCTGCCGGCCGGAGCCCCAGTGGGATCATTAAGGCCTGTTTACGTGAGGCGTCTAGACGCACTCCTCATGTGCCGTTTTGCCAGAATGGCCCTGAACCAGCGCCGACATCCAAGATGTAAATCAGCTCCAGAAAGACATTGCATCACAGAGACGGGGAACCGAGGGAGACTGCGTCTCGGGCCGATAAAAACAGCACCACACAGTTTTTAAGGCACTTCTGGTCTCTCAATTTGGGTTTGAGAGTAGCAGACCGGGGTGTTTTTGGAATGAGTCCGGTGCCTCGTCGGTTAGAGTTAGATGTGGGGAGAAAACCTCCAGGACAGAGCACTGACACCAACTGGGACTGTCATTTAAACTATACATACTTCCATTAAAGGAGTATTCGGTCTCCCATACCTTCGCATGAGGCAATAACGGCACTGGGACATAATGGTGTTACTTTTCCAACAAACAGAGGTCCTTAGCATTCCGACAGGGAGACTTTGAGGGGGCCTACTTGGTAGAGCCATGAGAAAAGCTTTTAAAATGCCATCTCATTTCATCCAGCTGCTACAAGGGTTACTGGCCAGAGGATTCTGGGATGTGCCAGACTTCCAAGTCATTAGTGAGTCAGCTGGTTGCCTAGTGATAAATTCACTGTCCATATTCACTCCTTTCTGCCAAATTGAGGGTTATGTTGCAATACCTTCAATGTTTTGTTACGGTTGATCAATGCAGAAAGGTGGTTTGATGAGGACTGTTGTCCTTGTATTTTGTCTTTGATTTACTGCTACTATTACTACTATAATAGTACTACTTACTACTATAATACTCTGGAATAAAGAAGGAAATCTATAAAACTGTTATTCTACACACTTGTCCGCCCAACGTAATTTAACTGATTATCTGAATTAGTCGACTCTTTGCAGACTGTTAACATCAGATGTCGTGTCACAAACATATGGATTTAATCAGGGCATTTCGTAATCACTATTTCCAATTATTCAGAGCATTCAACTAGTAACCAGCAACACTTTGTATTTCAACATGAAAGGTGGACAAATCCATTTCACAGACTGAGTTTGTTATCTCTTTTGTTGTTTTTTTATCTAAGGGGACTTATTGGTAATAACCATTTGGCAGACGTTTGCTGGTTTAGGCCAAAGGGAAAAAAAAGTCTAAGCGGTGGTCTGCCAAAGCTATTACACGTTTGGCAAATCACACAAACCACAGGCCAATGAATGCACATGATGTGATTGGGACGTTTGCTTGTTTACAGGGTTGAGGCATTCCACTCTCTTTAATCCACATGAATAAACAGCCAGATCACCACAAAGATGGTTTTGCTCCAACAAAACAAAAACAAAAAACTTCCTTGTGGCGAAAAAGGCCCAAAGTCTATTTCAATTTGGATTTTGAATTGAGGTTTTCCATCTTTTAGCGAATGCTATGCAACTTGCCACATTGGTCAATGGCAATATCCTTTTCGGTTTGGGTTAGATCTACAACTTTGATCATTATAACCGTAGCTAATCATTACATGTTTGGCAATGAAATGCTTAAAGCAAAAAAGTATAACGTCTGGCCAGAATTCTAGCTAAAAGTCTTTGTGATCCAGGATCTCTTCTCCTCGCAGTGAATCAGCCTCTTAAAACTAGAGAATAGCAAACAAAAACTTACCATTACAAATTGTTGTGACTCCGAAATAAACACTTGATATGTGCGCCAACCCAATGGTTAACTTTGTGGTCATCATACTGCTCAAGTTAGAGCAACTAACTTATATCGTAATATCTGACAAGAGCGCCACAGTTTATTGTGTTGCACCACACACTGACCTGAGAACCCACTGCATTCAGTGCAACTGACCTGCCCTCAGGGCTCAACGCTGCAGTGACTTCAAATCTCCTCTCGTTGTGACATCAGGTATAATATGCGTCTGGGATAACTGGTTAGAATGCTCATTTCAGTCTCTGTGATACGTCACCTGTAACACATCCAGTCTACTACTGACACTAACTCTTTATCGGCTATCGATAATCGAACTTATTGAACAAGAATCCTGGTCATTTCCTACGCAGCTTCCTAAAGGGTACGAAACAATCTTTATAGCATTTGAGTTCACCAGCTTGTAAATTTGCAAGCACGTGTGATAAGTTGCCGAGGCAGCAGCGTTCCATCTGGAGTCCGATCTCCTGCTGTGATAATGTCGGCAGGGGTTCCCCCCACTGCGACAAACCAGACAAAGCAAGATATGAAAACGCCCCTCTGACAGTGCAAGGTGTGAACGAACTAACCGTGCCTTCACACAAACACACCTTTGGCTGAACCTTCACAGGTGCCGGGCAGATCTCCACAGAGGACTGCTGTAAAGATGGCCGAAAGCGGGGCAATGACAACCAAGACTGTGCGTCCCTCCCTCTCATCTCGGAGTCAATCACGTGCAGGTGAGCGGGTGCTTTCTGCTGCTTTGCTGTCCAAAAACCCATATGTATGAGTGAAAGAGTTTACATGCCACTAACTGCTGCAGCCTCTGTCATATTCTCACATTTACTGTCTGCGCCACAGAAGCTCCTTCAGGATTGGCACAGAGGAGTCTGGCCGGTATCATGCATGGGATGTCTGTGGGCCCTCAATAAGAGATCGCTTTACCTTACTCCTCGTAAATCTACGGGCACATTATTCACTTCACGTGAGAGCAGAAAACACTAATAGTGATGGGATAATAACGGGTCTGCTTGTAACCCTAGAGGGTGTGCTGCCACACACCCTCTAGTACCATGAGCCATGGAAATCTGCTGCTGATGGCAAACACATTTACTGTAGGCCACCCCGAGAGACCCCAAATGTGTCTAAATTATAGTATACGGGGAAGAGAGCAAAGGGGAAGAGGTTTTAGGGGGGAACAGGGTGGGAAAGGGTGAATGGGAGTCCGAAAAGGTGCTGTTTCAAACCCCAGGAAATACCTCAGAGGTGAAATGCACCACAAAGGGAGGAGGGAGAGAGACAAGAACTGGAAATGTGAACAATTGCTTCAGAAACCAAAGGAAAAGTAGGAAAGAAATGGAGTGGGAAGAAGAGAAGAGGAAAGGAAAACAGGACGTGACTGTTCCCTTAAAAGCTTCTGCAGAAGAGGTGTGCGTCTTTATGTCAATTTGAGATCTTGGACAGTTTATTTGGAAAGAGGTTTCTGGTAAGAGTTGATTAACAGTCGGGTTGCAAATGAGCAAAGAGAGGTGAGGGGGTAGCGTTTTATGCCTTCAGTCTCGTAAAATCCAGTCTAGAAAGCCCCCCCCCCCCCCCCCCTCCCCCCAAAGGAGAAGAGAGCCCATAACGGTGTCAACACAAACATGTGTCCCTGATATTTAGATAATATTGGTCTCATGTTAGAGCTTGTAACTGTTTTCCACACACAATCCCCCATCAGAGTAATGTAAAACATGGTATTGATCTCAGTAGAGGTATATATCTAATAATCCTAAAGGCTTTCTCACTTTGCGTAATACATTTTCAACATGTTTCTGGTCGCACTAGCAACGCGTAGTCACCCAATTAGTGGTCAACTTTTCTCCGTTCTTACGGGACACAGCATGCATACGCAAAGGGGCTGGTTTGTTTGACGGGTATTATAACAATATTCATTCTTTTAAAGACCACAACCCTGACTACAAACATGCAGAGGAGGACAAATGTTCATTTTGGGACTGAAATGTTGACTTAACCCCACGGTTCAGCCCAGTTTTCGGCCAGCCATGTCAGCATTGCAAAACTCCATAAACGTCCGGTGCCCTTCTCGGAATCCACATAGGACTTCCTCAAACCCCTCATCCACATATTTTTGGTTTGTCAACTCTGAAATCCCCATCAGGCTGGCCTCGGGCTCAATTTAATGAGCTACACTTTAAGGAAGAGTTACATTGCACCGAGGAGATTACACATGCACCACCTGTGTTTGTCTCGCTGACAGGATCGTGCAGGAGCAGTGCTGTGTAACAGTGCTCCAGGATAACATGTGCAACACTGGTATCAACGTGGCCAAAGACCAAGGAGCCTGCGATGCGTTGTTCACCAACACCTGCGAGACCAAGACAACAAAGGTGCGTTTGTCATTGCATGTGCACACACATTACGGTGCTCCCTCAAATAAATCCCCCTACAATAAATAAGTGTCCTGCACACCCCTATGCTGAAGTGATTGATGTGCATTTGTGTGTGTGCGCTATGAGCAGGATGAGGCATGTCACTCCAGGGAGGAATGGAGCTTGTTGCCGTCAGAGAGATTATAAATTCAAGTCCGACTGTAGAATCTTCTGCAGGCTCACGTCCAAACACCTTTCAGCCTTTTTATGCTTGGATTTCGTCAACCCGGCCCTCAGTGCCCCAATATGTCCTCGATGCTGAACGCTGATCAACACACTGCATGCAAACATGCAAGTTTCTGCAAGTTAAAAGGATGAGACAATTGTCAGTGGGACAGCTCATCATTTTGTCATCGTCTGTGCAGACTTGTGTCTTTCTTAAAATGTTTACGGGTAATCTCAATAAGACAAAAAGATATTGGTAGTAGTAGAAGATAGTTTTACCTACAGGATAAAATAATAGTTGATTGTCAATACTTTCACAAAATTTGCAGTACATTTGCCTCAAAAGGTTTTCAGTCCCCCATCTATTACATTTTTATACTTTTCATGTTGCAGATGCTTGCCTCAACTTTAAAGTTCTACATACGCTTGCGCCTCCCAAAAGTTGATATTGTGAAAGAGTATCAAGGGCAAATACCAGAGGGTTGTGTTGTACGATACAGACGTAGCAACAGTCTTCTTAGTCAGAAACACTGGAAAGGAAAGAGAGAGCACTAATTAAAATGACTTTAAGACAAAGCTGCCATCACAAGTCATCACAGCACCTCATCTCTGGCACTGCCGTTATATGCCCTCAATGTTTTCACCAACCTGGCACTTTTGTGATGTATTTATGTATTTTATTGGATTGCATTGCATTGTGTTGTGCTATATGCCACTACATTGTAATGTCCTGCCAAGGGGACATCAAAGTCAACTATCTGGCTAACTCTGGTACATTAGAATGGAAACTGAAAGGTGGGTTAATGTGCACTGTCCTGGGATCAAAATCACTGCAGCACATATTTTGCCAGTGTAACATGTTAGTGAGCGTTATAGATGCTAGAAAGCTGATACCTTTGGACAGAGCCAGGTTAGCTCTTCCCCTTGTTCCCATTCTGTACACAAAGCTAAGCTATCCGTCTCCAGCTTGATCCTGTGGTATCAAGCTGCTCATATATCTATCGTCAAGAAAGACAAAAAGTACATGTGTCCCCGGGTCAAAGCGTTTTATGATGCAAGTTCTATTAGCTCCTATTTGGGCGATCGCCTCCTCCAGACCACATCTAGCCCACTCGTATTGCCCAAAGTGAAACACAAACACACCCTTCCCCCACACACGGCACCTTTCCTCCCCCTCCCCGACAGACATTAGCGGGCTGCCGTGATGATTGATTGAGCCTGCTTGAGGACGGGGGGATTATGTCATTTCATCACTGTCTTTCTGTCTGTCTTCACAGCTTTTCATACGTCTTTCTAAAGCCAGTCGCTTGGCATCTCTTCTCAATCAGCCTCCTTTCTGTCCTTTGTCTCGCCTCTATATTGGATTTATTCACTTCCCCTGGTGAAAAGAGAGCCGAGCAGCGTGATTATCCGTTGCTGTATGAAATAGTGTTTTCCTCTCCTAAAGTGGGCATTGTGCAGCATTGTGCAGCACAAAAGTGTGCTGTTGAGGAACACAACAGCACACTGTTGTGTTCCTCCCTGTGTTCTGCAGATGTGCTGCGACTGTTGTCTTTTGGGGATGGCGACCCAGGCCAAGAATCTACCCTGTGACCACGACCTGTCTGTGGGCTACCAGTGTAGCCTGGTATCCCGCGCCTGCTGCTCAGATGGAGCCCCAGAAGAACCGACCACAGACGCTCCAAAAACTGAATGTGGGTGATCAAAATGAAATAGTCCAAATATTATTGTTTGCAGCAAAGCAGGTCACTTATTTTAGGTTATAAAACAGAAGCCTCGTGGGAACACGTGCACTCAGACACAAAATATACAAGGATGAGCATAAAAATGAAGAAAACTGAAGGCGTCGCTGGGGTTGTCAAACACAAGCCCACACTGCCCCCTGCTGGAGGCAAACACCAAAAAGAAACTCATGAGAGCTCCAACAAAAATAACATCGATTTTCCAGCAGGAAAGTTTCATTTGTGAGAGCTTTGGTGTTTTACATCGATTGACAAACTCCAAATACATTTGAGGATGTCACCTCTGCCTTTAGGAAATCTTACTGGCCATTTTCTGATAATACATTTTCAGTAGTTTATTTGATAATGAAAATAATGTTACAACATATTTCTTATTTCTTAAGATATACGTTAAGATGTATATAAGATATATATATATATATATATATATATATAGATGTATACAATTCTTTCTTTTTTTTCTCTCCTGCAGTAGCAAACGATGAAAACACCAGTAATGGAGATTCACAATTAAGGGACCAGTGCAAAGGTAGGATTCAATATGTCACCAAATAAGTCTTTCTACACCTAACTGATCGTGTAAATGCCGTGATTGCTTACTAACATGTTTGTGTTTCTTTTATAGGGAAATGTGCTCATGAATGTGTGGGAAATGGCACTTGTACCTGCTTCAAAGGCTACAAACTCAAGCCAGATGCAAAGAGCTGTGAGGGTAAGTAAATCTTCCAATTTGCGTTTCAAAGGAATCAGAGCTCACTGAATTTTCTTTTTCATCCAAAAACTGTACTAACATGTGTCGCTATTGGAAGAATCGGCACCTTAAGACAAACCTCTGCTCTCAGATATCAACGAGTGTTTGTTGGGAGCTAGCAACTGCCGCGGAGGAGAGCGTTGTATCAACACACAGGGTTCTTTCCGCTGCCAGAGAGAGGTCAGCTGTGGTACCGGTTATGAACTCACTGACGACAACAACTGCAAAGGTCAGGTCACTCACCTCGCCTCTGTCCCTGTGGGTCTGAGTCGTGTTCTTCTTTGACCGTGTTGTCACTTATTTTTGTTCAGTTGTAATTCTGCAATGTGCTTTCTTCATCCAGACATCGATGAGTGTGAGACTGACATCCATAACTGCGGCCCGGGGTTAGAGTGCCAAAACACCCAGGGGTCCTTCCGTTGCCCCCCCAAGGTGAAGTGTGGGTCCGGCTTCATCCAGGACGCCCTCGGCAACTGCATCGGTATGCGCCACAACGTTCCACAACAGCTGCCAGAGAACGTATTCCATGCGTACTTAAGGCGCATGAAGTATAAAGAACTGTATATTCAGTTATTCAGTAAGATAAACGTCATGTGTGTCCGTGTTAACAGACATCAATGAATGCATAAGCCAGACGGGCCCCTGCCACCGCGGGCAGATCTGCATCAACACCGTCGGCTCCTACAGCTGCCAGAGGAACTCCGTCAACTGTGGTCGAGGATACCACTTGAATGAGGAAGGCACGCGATGCGTCGGTACGGCTGAAAAAAGGAGGTAACGAAGCATCGCAGCGACCCGTCCGAGGTGCATGTCATGAGGTTTCTTGTTGTTTTCCTCCACAGATATCGACGAGTGTAAAGGCCCCGAAAAGGTCTGTGCAGGTCACGGTTGCATCAACCTGATAGGCTCGTACCGCTGCGAGTGTGAAGCCGGCTACGTCTTCAACAGCATCACTCGTCTCTGTGAGGGTAAGGAGCTGGTCCGTTACGCTCCACGCCCCAACGTAGGATTTTGCCATAATTTAAGCTTCTTACTGTTGCGTATTTGTGCTTTGGCTTTTAGATATCAATGAATGCAGGCACTACCCCGGCCGCCTGTGTGCTCATAAGTGCGACAACATTCTGGGATCCTACAAGTGTAGCTGCACCACCGGCTTCAAGTTAGCCGCTGACAACAGGAACTGTGACGGTGAGAGAAAATTCAATAAATAAATCGGGAGAATTGAATTTTTTGGGTATCAGATTAACAACTATGGAAGTAACTGTGTTCTGATTCGTGCTTTTGAGGAGGTGTTCACGATGCTCGGTAACTATCTCTTCTCTGCGTAGATTTGAATGAGTGCGAGAGCAACCCGTGCAGTCAGGAGTGCGCCAACGTGTACGGCTCCTACCAGTGCTACTGTCGCCGTGGCTACCAGCTCAGTGATATGGATGGCATGACCTGTGAAGGTAAAAGAGAACCGAGTTAACAAATACTTAGAGAAATACATGAATATTTTGGAAAAAAATCTGAATTTTCTTAAATGTGTGGGAGAATGTAAGTTTGTTTGCAATGGTATTTTCAAGCTAGATCCAACAATGGGTTTACAGGAAAAGTCAGTTTAGGTGGGAAAATACAAAATATATACTTATCTTACTTAAATGTGATCTGTTCATCTCTCTCTGTGACACTTTTAGATATAGATGAGTGTGCCTTGCCGACTGGGGGTCATATTTGCTCTTATCGCTGTCTCAACACCCCGGGCAGCTTCCACTGCTCCTGTCCGGTCAGTGGCTACACCGTGGCACCCAATGGGCGCAGCTGCCAGGGTAAACTATGCTACACATGCAGGCGGGTTCCCATTTTCCTGGTTTATGTTTTGAAATCACATTTTTCTACCTTTTTGTTCCCAGATGTTGATGAATGTGTTGCAGGAACACACACATGCACGGTGAATCAGAGCTGCTTTAACGTGCAGGGGGGATTCAGATGCTTGTCCTTCGATTGTCCAAACAACTATCGGCACGTTGGAGAGACGTAAGTATCCGGATTCTGTACACGTTGTTGCTGTTGTTGTTAACAGAGAACGGTCAAGAGAAAGAATAAACACGAAACCACGGACAAACAGTTCTACCTTCCTAACAGTTGGATTGGCCACCCACCCGACATCAAACAATGCCAAGCTCTTTAAAGCGGCCCCTATTCATATTTTATTCAAGGCTCTGCATGTCCAGTCCTCTCAATGCCGGAATGACCTCTGATGAGATGCGTCTGTAGCATGTTCTCGTGTTTTAGATTGACATTAGCTCAATTAGAATAGAGGCTGTGTAAAACCTCTGCAGACACAGGCAAAGAACCTCTTGCATGATCCCACCGAGGGCACCGTGACCGTATTGTGCTGCAGAGAGAATGTTCCTTCCACTTGCATGCCATGCACGTCAAATTTAACTTACAACTGGTCTCTCTCTCTCCTTCTCTCTGTGCCTTGTTTGTTCTGTCTTGTCCCAACCTGCCCCCCCCCCATCCTTCTCTTTGCAGTCGATGTGAACGCTTGCTTTGCAATGATTCTGTCGAGTGCCTGGCCATGCCCCTGAGAATAACCTACTACCACCTCACCTTCCCCACCAACATTCCCGTCTTCACCAACATCTTCCGCATGGGCCCCACTCACACCGTGGCCGGCGATGACATCCAGATTGTTATCACCAGCGGCAACGAGGGCGGGTTCTTCCTGACGGAGCAGGTGCCCACCGGCGGCGTGATGTCGGTGGCGAAGCTCATCAACAAGCCGCAGGACTTTGAGTTGTCTCTGGAGCTGAGGCTGCGTCGCTACGGCACGCTCAGCACATACCTGGCTAAAGTGCTGGTGTTTGTTACCCAGGAGGAGCCCAGACTGCCGTATAAGCCCTTACTAGAATAGACAACAAACACAGGAAGTAACTGCACTCTTAAAAAGGATGTGCCATTTTATTTAAAACGTTGCATTGTTGAGAAAACCGAAAAAAGGTCAATCCGCTAAACAAGATTCATGCAAGATGTTGATGCAGTGCAACTTTATGTGGCATGCCGCATGCATGTATCCTGAGAAATATACAAATATATATTATGGTTTACAAATAATGATCGTTAGAAGAGTTAAATTCATCACTGCTAAAGATCTTTCTTCAAATGAATAGGGTTACGGCATGTCTACAAATACTGGTATACTGCATTGACTCATGGCCTGATGACGCAGCGTTGGGGTCGTCCAGTTAAAATGAACTGGCCCCCCACGGCATCATGTGGCCCTTCCTACAGTATCTGTGCATTATCACATTTTTCTATGCAATGAGACTCTAAAAGGCAGCCGGGGCTTCAGATATAGTCTGATAGAGTTATTACCCCTTTAAACACTGTAAACATTATTCTGAATTTTTCCTTCTTAGAGGTCATGTGTTAGCCGCTAGGTGGCGTTCTAGGTCAGGATAAATCATAAAATGGTAACGACCCAAGTCTGCCTTTAACTAAGTGTAATTTGAGGATGGTTGCATGATAAAGTCTGACATTTTGGAGTATTTCATGGTTTATGTCTTGGATGAACAGTTTTCTATTAAAATTGAAATAGGAATAACACATGTTCAAGTCAAATACAGTTCTTGATAATGGTGCATTGTGCGGTTTTAATCAAATACAGCAAAGGGAGCAGCTGGAATGTGAGGCCAAATCACAGATGGAGGCTTTGCGACTTCCTCACATAGTTTCATAGTTACTATTATTTACTATTTAACATAGCCAACTAGATGTGTCTATAGACAAGATATTTTAAGACTAATGAAACAACTGTTTATTAGTTATTTTTGTCTTGATTTTTGATTTCAAAGCTTTCCTGCATCAGTAACCTTTGGAAGCCAAGACGCAAAACTCTTGTGTTATAAATCAGCCAAGAAACAATACAAGTCAAATATCCCATCGATAAATCAAACCCTTCAGTTATCTGAGCCTTTTTGTCCAACGTTACTATTTATTAAGTCCATAAAGTAATTCTTCACCTCCAAAGAGCCAGACCTTTCCTTTGAATGCATTGTTACTTCCATTTCCCAAACATCAGTTACCTTGCACCGCAAATATGTCTTTCTGTGACACTTATTTTCATGCACATCTCTTTAGCTCCCATTGTAGGCTTAATGTGAAATGCACAGATTTCCACTGCATACCGCGGGTGTAAACCCCAAAGCAGACAGATAATCCAAGTGAAGGCTGAGTAAGTGACACGCGATGGGATGCAGTGGCAACGGAGAGGGAAATGTGCACCAGCAGGAGCGAGTATAAATAGTTTGACATGCTGTGAGGCTGCTGCCCCGGGGGCTGCGCCTCATAATAACTGTAAATTCAGATGTCCCAGGTTCCTCCTGAGCTGTTAGGCCAGTAAGGATGCACTTGGTCCCTATTGGGGATATCCTTAAAATAAGAACATCGTGGTGCGCAGAAGGTTTTTTCCTCCCCTTTGACATTGAGTTATGGGGCTCTGGGCTCTGGCCGGTGGTCTGAACAATTTGTGGCGCAGCAACATCACCGCGCACAGAATGAATGATGCCCGGCAGTGTTTGTGTTGGGTCGTTATCAATGTGCCGACTATAAATAATAATTACCAAAAAAAATAAAAGGCCCTAAGCTTGACCAGAGGACTTTCATCCAAACAGTCTGTTTTTCTTTCTGGTTTGAAAGTATTGGGGTTTTCTCCTGGACTGGGACACGTGACGCATGAGGCACGCGCACGCACACACACACACAAGCATGTTCGAATGTACAAAGGCATACATCCACAAGTAAACATGCACAACAATGTAGGCCAATTGGCGTGCAGAAATATTCAGCTTCAGAAACACTGAAGCTGAAATGAGCTCCACCGTTGCTTTAAAGAGGGTAGTTGCCCCCTGATCCTTATCTAGTCATAAATGTTCTCTCTATCCCAACAGAGCTTCCACCTTGTCCTCTAGAGCCCCGCTCGGGTCTTTCTGCAGCTCAGGCCGTGGTATTATAAACTAAGAGAACATTTTGTGGGTTTGGCATAGGCCAAGGCCAACTTGGACCCACCCGCTAATTGCAAATTACAAGCCCCTACCCAGTGGTGGCTTGACTTTTTGTCAGGGGCTTCTCTCCTCACTCTCCACGGAAGGAGCCGTGCAACCCAAGCTGGGCCCGGGCTTTGGGCTGCCGCCTATAGGTCCCCCGAGGAGCGCCAGGGATCCACGGCCCATGACTCACAATGCGGCTCTATAGCCGCCCTGGTCTTATACATGGCAACTTGGCTGTTTTCATAACCCAACATAACCGTGTACTGACTCGTCTCCTTTGTGAAAACCAAGCTTAAATTTAACACCTTGGATGTCAAAGTCAGTTTTTTTTGTTGCTTCAACAGCTCTCTCGCGATCACAACTTTCTGATTGTTTGAAAGACAAACTCTTAGATTCATGACATTGTTAGCGCCTTAGGAGCCTTTCTCAAAGTCTTACATGGCAGACAGGTAGTGAATGGAAATACTTTGGGTGGCGTTAGCCTTAGGAGCCAGCAGAGGCCCTCCATTCCCTCCGACCTGTCACTGATTAGCCTGTGGAATAAACAAAGCCCTAAATAATAGGATGAGAGCTGCCCTGGGGAGAGGCTGGGGAGTTGTCTGGTCATGTTGCTCACAATTTAGGAGTCTTTTAGAAAACTCCCTCGCCCAATAAATCCTCCTCAAGAGATTATCTGATGTGTAGCCGCGGATGCTCGGCAAATCCAAATATTTTCCCGAGCAGGTTGTGGATCATTCCCCGGGTGTAGTAATTCATTTCCCACACATCTTGAAATAGTGCTTCAGAGAAGCATTGACGGCAGCGCTGGTCCCCACTGGGCCACGGCATGAGCCACGGCCGTTGTTAGTTTATTATTCTTCCAAACCACATAGAATACGGTTGTTTTTGATGTTGACTGCTATATCCAGTACCCCAGCTGTTGTGTTGAGATATTGTTTGTGTAGCGGCCATCGTAGTTGTCATGCTGAGTTCTTGATTACGCAGTGGGACGCCCCCAAGGATGCCCTGTTATTGTGCGCTTTGGGAAATCAAAGAGCTCTGGTCTTTATGTAGACATTACATAAAGGTCGGAGGGCGTGGGTGTGTTTGTGTTCTCTTTTTTTTTTCAACGTCTGTTCCCTTCCTCAGAGTGGCGAGGCTTCAGCGCTCCGACACCATTCGCTGTATGAAGTCCTGTCAGCCCAATGACATCGCCTGTGTTCTGGACCCCATGCACTCCGTGTCCCACACCTTCATCTCCTTGCCCACCTTCAGAGAGTTCACGAGGCCAGAGGGTAGGTTCGGATATGCGTATGTGGTTTGACATGAGGTTTGATGCGCACACTCATGACGCCATTTGGGACATTATTCATGTGGGCAAACCTGCAGGAGAAATGTTGGATAATATTTAAGTACAATAGTTTTGACATTTTGGGGAATGCCTTTTTTTCTCCTTTTGCCAACACTTGGATGGTAGGATACCACTCTCATATTTGTAGGACAATTATGAAGATTTCGCCAGTAGACGGTTAGTTTATCACATCGTAAAGCTCAGACAGGGGAAACAGATACAGTAGTCGGGCTCTGTCCAAAGGTAATAAAGCTCCAGTGCCAGCAGCACTAGAGTGGGTTTAGTAGTTAATACAAAACCCAAAGTTGGAATTGTGTTTATTATCTTTGCCTTTTCCCCCTTATGGACAGGCCAGCTATTTCCCACTGTTTCCAACCTTTATGCTAAGCTAAGCGACGCCTGGCTGAGGGCTTTAGAGTCAGGATGACTCATAAGAGTATATTGATCATCTCATAAAATGATTGACAAGGAAGCAAATGAATGTATTTCACAAAGTGTTGTTTTTTTCATCTAAAATGTATTTTACACAAACCATAAAGGTTTGCATGCATTTCCCTGCTGCTATCAGAACCCATATATGTGCAGTGTGTCCTCTCTGTGTAAAATAAACAGACATTTCCATCTCCAATTTTATTTGTCTTTCACTTTCACAGAAAGAAAAGAAAATGAAGAGTTTGAATTGTCTTGGCGGTGCAAATCCAAAGTGACTACCATGGTTTAAGCTACAAACGCCTTTCTGTCTCCCAACAGAGATTGTCTTCCTGAGGACCACGGTGCCGGCCTACGGATCCTATCACTTAGGCAGTTATGACGTCAAGTTTGACATCCTGGAGGGCAATGTGGACGACGCCTTTGACGTCATCAAGCGCGTGGAGAACGGCCTGTTTGTGGGTGAGTGCAGGAATTCTACCTCGTTGTGTCCGTTGTGAGCTTTGAGCGGCGTTAACATGCAGCCTTTACCGACTGGAAACTGCATTTTCTTTTCGTGTCACGGTATTCCCGTATTTTCCCCCGTGAGCGGGATTGTCTGCCGTGTCCTTGGGTGTTTCCTCCTGTGTCCAATCAACTGCACCTTGCCAGTGTATTTAAACCAGGTGTGTCCCTCGTCTCCTTGTTTGTCCTTTAGTTCATGTTGGCGAGTCTTCTTTGTGGTCTGATATTCCTGGACCCTATTTTGCCCACAGCCGTTTTGTTATTTTACTTAAGTAAAGGGTTTTGGTTTCGGAAAAGTAACGAGTCCTGATTCCCTGACATTTGGACAGAGGGGCTGTTCTTTCCAACCCGAGATCCATTTTGAAATGGATTAAATGTATGTGACTTTTTTTCTTTTCCCAAATCAAAGTCCCGCGTGTGCACGTTGAGAAGACAAAGAGCACACAAATCAAGTACATCTGACACCATCCGGTACGGTCACGGCAATGTTCACGTTGCTGTCATCATCCTCGTGGGGGGGTGGTGGTGTCAGTGGCTCTCTCACCAGATACTTGGCATGCATTTCCACAGACTTGTGCTTAAACAAAGCACCATTTAATTCAGTTATGTGCTTATCCCAGGCGGATCATAATGGAGTCGCATGAATCCTAACTTGTGTAGTCGCATGCACGTGTGATTGCAGTAGACCAGCAGTTCGTTACAACTACCTGTTTCACCACTACCAGCATGCAAAAAGCAACAACATGTTTGGGGAGAAGCCATGTCAATGCTTCAGTCTGGGGGGGACCCGAGGTTGCTTCATGGATGTAGGAGAGCTGAACTGAGTACAACGGGGGGGGGTGTAAGTACAGCGTCTTCTTCGTGACATGTCTTGACAGACCGTGAGGGAGAGGATGGAGAACACAACTCATTTGTTTAGGGATTGGGGGCGCATGCATGTGTTTCTTTCTTGTACAAGACGTAGGTGCTCATCAAGTGTATCCCAGTTCACACATGAAGGGGGAAACGTTTGTAACCAGCGATAATTGACATAATTCACTGCCAGAGCGGCTATAATTAAATTGTAATATCTTATAATAGTATGCTTTTGCTGGAATGCGCAATGTTGTGGTTCTGCAGGATGGATAAGCCTTATTTTGTAATATATCCTCTGCTGTATATGTGCGTGTGTGCATAAAGGATTTAGTGATAAATTCCCTGTTTATGGTGGCCCTCATTTTCAAGGGCAAGTATGTATGTGTATTTGCGAGGGAGACAAAGTGAGGGACTGTGATTCAACGAGAGAGGAAAGAGAGGGGGAATATGCGCAGTAATCCCGGGCGCTTTGTCTCATGTGGTTAAATGTATTGTTCCATTTCCCCACGCTTAGGCCTCGGTGTCTCGCCGAGCATTAGAGCAACCGACGACCACGTGAAAGGCCCGTTTGTGAGGAGCCGGTTCTCTCGCAAACCCATTGGACGCTCGGTGCATGCAGCTCTTGCATCTTAGCACCAGTTGCCCGTCACATTTCCAAATTGAGGCCCCGTGCAGTGGAGTCCACGGCGCGATGAGGGGCCTCTTGGTTTCATTTTGTGGGCTTTGCTGCTGGTGCTTTGGCCCACGGTCGCTACTGTTGAGCAACCATTGTACGAGGCGCGCTGACGTGTCACTTAAAGAAGCTTAGCTTCCAGTATCGCCAGTGTCTCCTGCAGTAGTGAAAGCACGGTGGGATTTGAAGAGTAGCAGACATTGAGGCTCCACTAATGAACCAGTGCGCAAGTGTTTTTGGCCACCTCTCGTGTTTTGAAAAGGACAAAAGAGGCCATTAGGAACCCTCAGAATCCGTTACTTACTTAAATAAGTGATTCATGAGCGGTTTGATTGACTGACGCTCTTTTTCGTTATGCTCCCTCACCCACTCTTTCAAAACTAGACGACTGCACACACAGGCATATAGTGTTGCACATGCATATGTGAACACACACGCACATAGACGGAGGCTGTGAGCCCACCAAATATTGGACGAATTGCACTGCTCTTTCCTAGCTCCTGGTCATCCATCACAAGCTTTCATTGCACTGTCACATCTGGAAGACGCCCCTGACAGCCTCACGCATCTGTGCAAACATAGCAGGCCCTTGGTGCTTGGAAAACATGATCAGAACAAATCAAACACAAACAGATTCCCATGACAACCACAGTAGCACCGCAGCGGCCAACCACACAAAATCCCTGCAGGTATGCAGGGTGATACACTTCATCCTCACAACAGAGACGTCATTTATGAGCCATCATACACATATTTGGAAACACAAACAGTGGAGGAATGCATCAGTGTTATTTGAGACAGGTTGTTTGAATAGAGAAT